TTTCAAAAGAAATATTATTTATGACTTTCCTTGTTTTGTTTTAGAGGAAAATGTATCATCTACTTCTTGCCAATGCAATCAATCGACTTTGAATCGCATCTCTAATCAATCTAGTTTATCATCCATTAATAATAGTCTGAGTGTAGAATCTGATCATTTAACAACTGTAAAAGTCTCTCCTGCATTTATGCATGGTCATCCAGGTACTGAGAGGAGAACAGAGTTTGTTTCTCAATATAAAAGATATTATAAAAACTGTGTCCATTCTTCTGAAAAAGGGAAGAGTTATCCTTGCTCTCAATATAATACTTGTTTTGGGTCACTTTCTCACAATAAAGTTCAGGATAAAATAATTCAACCTGGTCTATCACGTGTACCTGTAAATTCTTCGCATCTTGTATTATCTCCAATATCGAACCAAACTTCAGATAAGTATCTTTATTCACCACCTAACTCACAAAAAAGTAATCAATCAATGTTTGACTGTATAGGTGGCAACATGGTTTCTGCTGACACAAGTAATTTAGTTTCCAATACTTTTGGAAGCCATCGTAGTGATGGAAAGTTAACATCTGAAAAACAACGTGCCTACTTTACAGATTCTATGAGATTAATGATGTTAGATTGTTATATAAATCAAAGTATTGGAGAAGTTGGATATAAACAATTTCCAAAACCTATTGTAAACAGACTTTCAAAAGACTTGGGTCTAACTAAAGTTCAAGTAAAACAATGGGTAAGAAACAAAAACAAACGCGTAAGGGCGTTGATTTTAAAACAATCGCAAGAACAGTTACCTCAAACATCGAAAATGGCTACCTTATTTAACAGCCAAGAAACTTTTTCTAATCAAAAAGTTGATAATAATATTGTAAAAGATGAACCAATGGACGAAAATCCAGTAGTGTTTGTTTTGAATGACCAAAATATTTAAGTCTTGAAAAAAAATTGTATATAACATAAATGTCAAGTATTCTATTTGAACTTAAAATTTTGTCTTTTTTTGTTGTTGTTCAAGTTTTATATTTTTGAAAACTTTATATTAATATTGTTTGGTATTAAAAACGTTTTTATAAAATATTATAAAAAGGTAAAGTTAATTCATATTAAATGTTGTTTTACTAGATTTAGATCCTTATAGTTCAGTATAAATCATGTATTTGTTTGAAGTTTATATTTCTTATTTAAAATATAGAGATTTTTTTTAATAAGAAATTAAAAAAAAAAGTTAATATATGTTGTATTAGAAAGTTAATATAGTTCAATATAGATTAATGAAGTAAAAAAATTATTCTGTTTAATTCCTTACTTCAACCTATGATTTTTTACAAATATAAATTTATTACATTTTTTTCTCTTTACAGCTTCGCAGAATCAAGTTCAACGAGTGCCAACAGAGAAACTTAGTTCCGAAACTTCTCGTGTACAAGCTATGTTTGATCCGTTAAGTAAAAAATACGAGCATGAAAATGCATCTTCAAATCAACCAGGTAAATTAAAATCAACCAATTAAAAACAAGTTTAAACAAAAAGATTTTAATTACCCGGATTGTTTCCCGTTAAGTGTAATAAAAATATTCGATTTTTTTAGTGCATGTTAATAACTTAGCTGTCCATGCCTCTCAGTTGGCAATAGATCGTACCAGTCGACAGGATATTGCATACAATAGCGAAAAAAATGTCTCATCTTATCAGCAATCTTTTGATCAACCTCAGCAACAAGTAAATGTTGCATACCTTGCATCATCAAGTCAACCGTTTGTCTCAAATTCGCATTCCTTTGCCACAACTAGCCAGCCTTATGCTCCTTCCATAAGTAACGAGTCTAATTATTCAGGTGACTATTCCTCTCAACCCTATCAATCATCAGTTCAACCTTCATCAGGTTACCAGCAAACGTTTCAGGTTTCTAGTCCTTCCGTAATGCAACAATATAATCAATCTATGCCTTCTGCTACCACAAGTCAGAGGCCATATACTCCAGAGTATACCCAAACACATCAGCAAGTTCACCAACAAGCAAGTTCAAATCCTTACAGAACCCCTGCGTTTTCGGTAAGATACCCTCAGTCGATGCAGTCTTACGATTATAACTCACAACTACCTCAAGGATTAGTCACTGGTACAGGAGCGTCCTATCAAAATGTTGTTTACCAATAAAGAGTCAGATTGATTTTTTTTTCTATTTTTAAATGTTCAATATACAGGTTTTTTTTTAATATTTTTCTTTTGGTTTAAACGTTTCGGTCTAATGACTTTTCTAAACGAAATTTTGAATAGTTTTTTTTATAATTTGATTTTTTTTACGAGTTATTTGTTTATTAAAAGTTGCATTACTCATTCTTTTTCTTTTTTTTCCATGTACGCCTCTTAGTTTAACATACTTTTATAAAATATTAGAAAATAAATAAATGAATAAATAGTTATAATTTATTGTAAATCTTTTATGTAATTATTTTTGTCTTCGATTTTTTAAGGTATTTTACGTAACTACTTATTACTTATAAAGCATGAACACTTTTTAGCGAATCTGGAAATACGAAATATTTTTTTAAAGTTTTTAATTAAAAATGGATTTTACCAACAACAAAAAAATCATAGACTAAGTGCAATGTGCTCTCAACTGATTCCCATTCTATAGGTCCTAAATAACTACAAAAATCTTTTTTTCAAATATTTAATGACTAGAAGTGATAGATGTAAATTCTGAGTTTTACGGTTTTTACACGCGTGTATTTACATAAAAACAGCGCTATCTAGTATTTCAAAGTTTTAAAGTTACGTAATAATTGGTACACAAATAATTCCAATAGGACGTTATTAAATATTGGCATCATTCACAATGAACATTTTTAGCGATTGATATAATTCCCTCTGGGCAATATTATTAGTTGGAAAAATTGCCCATGGATTGGTTCACAAATAATTCCATTTAGAAATTTAGAAAGAAAAAATTTCTTAATCGAATTATTTGTGTACAAAGGAATTCTCGTGTAAACGGTTATAAAAGCCATAACGATAAACTTAGATAAAATATGATACGAGAGTGAATAACGACTTCATAGTTTTTTGATGCAGGTGTAAAATATAGTATAAAATATAAAATCAAGTTAAAAAACTGATTTTTTTGAAATTCATTTAAAAAATGGACAGAACAGCTAAAAATAGGATAATGGGATAAATAATGATAATGGGACAGAATAAGAAAAAACGGAATAATATAGAATGGTTGAGGTATATTTACCTATTGAAGTGCCCACTGAGTGATTTACCTCAGAGACAGCTTCCATCTAATCCATCTAATGGTGATATTCTAAGATATTATCAATTTATCCTTATGCGAGTCACAAGTTAAATAGAGCAGCCGTGGCGCAGTGGTTAGAGTTCTGGCTCAGAAATCAGAGGTCCGAGGTTCGATGCCAGCTCTAGCCCATCAAGCGACATTGGTACGGAAGGAGGCGTGAACTTCCTGTTAAATGCTCACCCGCGGTGCTCTATGATAAGACCGTAAGGACTTCTGGGAGCATCTAAATACATACTTAAAAAAAAAAAAAAAAAAAAAAAACCCACTTTTACTAATGTTGGTTGCAAGTTGAAATCAAAATACAAGGATCTTGTTGGGAAAATGGTGTTGGTACAAGTCCTGATAATTCTTGCTTGGTGACTAGGATTTAAAAAATTTTAAATACAAGAAATTAATTACATTGCCTTCTCTAAACTGGGACATCAGTCTTGATAAGCAATCAAAGCTAGAGAAAGATTTTCTCGCAGAATCCTATCAGCTTTTTGACATCTCGACTAAGAATTTTGAGAAAGATATTTTTGCTGATAGATTGTCAACAGATAATGTCAAGCTGGAAAATATAAAGTAAGTAAATAACACTTTTTTGAGTAGTGAGATTTTTTTTCCGATTTAAAGTAACTTAAGTAATAGCATATAATTTCCTTTCAAATATTTACGTCTAACTCTTTCCATGGTTTGCTCATCTTCCAAGAAAAACTAGAACAGTTTGTTTATAAATGTTTTAACAGATTTAAATATTTTTTAGTTTTTATGAAGACCAAAAGTTGAATAAGAAAGGATATATGGGAACAAAAGTTGATGGAGACTACAGTATGAGAGTACTGAATGCAAACAGGAGAACGATAAGCTGAGAGAGAAAGAATTAGAGTGATAGAAAAACTTAAAAGATTTTAATGATGTTTTGTTGTCACATGACTTCATGACAGAAGAGATTCAATTCAGCAGTGAGAAGGAAAAGTCAAACGAGGACTCTGAAATCAGCGAGGAAGAAGATTTCCTGGGTAACGGTCAGAAACGCAGGTATAGTATTATTTTAATAACATAGTTGTAATTTTCACAAACTATTTAGTTTGTGAAAGCTTTAAAGCTGTTTTATTTTTTGTGAAAATAAAAAATTTCAATAAAACAACTTTAAAGCTGTTTTATTGAAAAGCATATAATTATAAATAAAAAAATATTATAAAATGATACCTAAGTACAATTCTGGAGATATGTTAAATCTAGTAGTGAATGTTGAAAAGCTCATTGAATGTACTACTATTCCAGCAACAATGTTCAATATTGGTGTACGACCTCATCTGTCAATTTTAAGTGAAGTATTTAAAGCTGGAGGTATAGAAATTAATGATATACCGCTTTCGCGGAGCACACTTCATGGAAAAAAGTTCAAATATGTAGAACTTGAAGGAGACTTGAATTATTTCATTTTGATACCAAACTGTTGGAACAAATTACCACTGGGTTTAACATTATTCAAAAAATTGAACAACTTGCGGTCTCAGTGAGCTCCCCAGATGACGATACCATGGAAGACCATCTTTTAGGTGTTGTTCAATGTTCCTCTTCAAAGAAAGTTGACCAATTAGTACTAGTGCACAATCGTTTAGGATATTATGGATGTAAAAAGCTAATCATTGGTATATGCTGTGATAAAACTGCAAGCAATACAGTCAATGAAGCAGTTCAAATTCTTACAGATATTTTGAAACTACAAATGTTGTGGATAATGTGTAGGAGACAAATAAATATAAAGGATGCAAGTTTGTTCATTGCAATTTTCTGTGTTCCATGGTTTTTCCTAATATTTGAAGATTTTTTTCAAAATAAGGGAGTGTACCCCTCCCCTTCCTCCTCCTCACTTTGAAATCCGTATCGTCGGCCTTGTTAAATAATAGCAACTTATCTAATATCATAATAATAAATAACAAATAGTATACAGAATATTTGTATAGAACTTATTATTAATAAGAAACAAATAATATAGTCATAACTAATCGTAAGTGATCAGATACACAGAATGTTTTATTTTCAACATTTACATAAGTCACGACCATTAGTACTGATAGTTAAGAAACGGCAGGTTTTTGTTCAAAAACACAAGCATTTGCATTCGTTCCGGAGCTAACTGGTTTCTTTTTCGGTCGGAGATAAGCCCCGCAGTACCAAAAAACCTTTCCGATAACATTTTTTTTTTTTTTTTTTAGTTTATTTATTTCAGTGATCAAATACAAATACAATAATCCATTTATAATTTGATAAAGAGGTGCTACACCAGGCCCCTCTATGCTGACGAACATGGAGATACAGACGCTACAGACAAAGCAGCAGTTGTATCTATAAAGTTACTTTCTTCTGTTATTTTTGAAAGCGTTGATAGATTGAGCGTTCACTGCTTCACGCAAAATCGCATTCCATGGGGCGACAATTCTGTTTGAAAAAAAGTTATATCGCTCCTTACAGTTTTTTACCATCTGACGTTCTAGTTTATGGTTATGGCCTCTTATTTTTTACTTTTTGAAAATTTTTGCGGGACGACAAAACTGACAAGCTCGAGTTTACAAATGATTTTGATTTGCTCGATAAGATCTGCTCTTTTGCGGCGTTCTTCAAGAGTTGTTAAACCAAGCCGTTGGAGTCGATCTTTATAGGACAGGTGTTTAATAGTCGAAATTGTTTTTGTTGCTCGTTGTTGGACCTGCTCGAGAATGGTAATGTCTGATTTTAAATGCGGTGACCAGCAAACTCAAGATGGGGGCGAATGTAAGTGAGATACAGAGTGCGCCATAAATAAAAACTGCGACTGCGAGATGTTTTTTTGAGTCGCCCTAGCATTTTATTTGCTACTGATGCGGCTGACTCTATTTGCGGTTTGACTTTAAGATCATTCGAGACCATCACACCAAGGTCTCTTTCGACTGCGGTTTTTTCGAGAGGACGAAGGGTGCCGTCGACGTTAGACATTGAGTATTTGTACGTCGACTTGTTACATCCGCTCCCAACATGCATTACTTTGCATTTCTCAACGTTGAAATGCAAGAGCCAAATGTGTGACCATTCCACTGCTCTGTCAACGTCATCCTTTTTAATTATCCCTATTATTTTGCTGTCGTCGGCAAACAGTTTCATATGATGAGTAATTCTGTCCGGCAGGCCGTTTACAAAGATTACGAATAGCAATGGGCCCAAGACCGAGCATTGAGGCACTCCACTATTGACTGCTTTCCATTCAGAAGTAATGCTGTTTATAACCACTCGTTGACATCGATTGTTTAGCCAAGCTGCAATCCAATCAACGAGAGCGCCTTGAATACCGTACGCTTTCAGCTTATGAAGGAGGCGTTTATGTGGTACTTTATCGAATGCCTTTGCAAAGTCTGTGTAAATGACGTCTACTGCGTGTCTGCAGTGAGTTGCTTCCGTCATGATGTCCCGAGTTTCTAAAAGGTTTGATACGCATCTTTTACTATGAACAAAGCCATGCTGGTTTGGAAAAATTAGTCCATTAGCAACGCAGTGTTCCATTATTCTCTTTTGTAAAATACTTTCCATAATTTTGCAAGGTATGGAAGTGAGCGAGACTGGCTGGTAGTTGGATGCTTTTAGCCTACTCTTACTTCACCGAAATTACTCATAAATACCCCACAAAGAGTCAACACCATTTTGATTAATATGGACAGTCCCAGATAATTATCTAAACCACCAACCTTAGATAAAAAGAACTCATCCAATCTATCATCTATTTTGTTAAAATTCATGAAAAGTTCCCTGTTTTTAGAGACAATTTTTTCTAAATATCTCTTGAATTCGGTATTTACCTCATCCCCACTTTTTGGAGTAACCCAATGCAATTCAATCAATTTATCAACTAAATTATATTTTGTTAATGTCATTTTCGGAACGATAGTTTTGTAACTCAGAGTAGAAGGCCCAATTTGCATTTGAGCCATTCATAGATACTTGAATAAGTTTGGTTTTATTTAAAGATTTCAAACCCAACAAAAAGTTATGCAGAAGATCTCTACTTCGACTATGTCCAATAAAGGTTGAATCTAGGTAACGAGTACAAACACGCTTCAAAACACTATCCCAATAATTAACAACAAAATCCATCTGCCCCATTTGCACAACTGAGTTAAGACTTTCATCGAAAGAAACAGCATAAAAGTCTGACTTATCTATATCTCTAATAAGAACTGATTGAAAATAAGGAGCTATTCCAAAATTTATATATGAGCACTTGTCCATAAAGAAAATGATGACAAAACATTTTTAAGTGTCCATCTGTTCTCTGCATCAATCAAGCTAAATAAAAAAAAAATTGTTTTTCTTAGAGTTAACTGAGTGGTAAAAAAAAAAAAGACTCATAATTAAAGAACTTCTAAAATAAGATAAATAACAAAAACTCTGATTATTTTAAAAATTAGACCTAATTTCCCTGATTTTTTTTAAAATTTGACCTAATTTCCCTGATTTTTTTTAAAATTAGACCTAATTTCCCTGATTTTTTTTGAAGAAATCTAAATTCCATGACTTTTCCCTGACCTGGCAGACACCCTGAATTTCTACAATCACCATGATCGGTTAAATTGTGGACAATTTTAAATTAAGTTTTCTTAAAAACCACTAAATCAATTGAAATGATTTATTTTATGATGCTTACATATATAGTTTTTCTGTGAGTGGGTTTAGTTTTTTTTACTTATCACTAGTTTTTGCGATGTCAAGTAAAGAGTCAAATATCAATTTTTTTTTTTTTTGAAATTTTACGTAGAAAATCGATTGTTCTCATATTCTATGATTTCAAAAGCATGTAACGTTCAAAAACCAACTGTTGGAATTGTTATAAAAAGTTATAAGGAAACAAAACTGCAAAAAGAAAATCGGGAAGTGGTGGAATATCAAGATTTATTTCCAAAAAGAAGGCAAAATCATCAGCCGACTTTATTCATCAAAATCCGACTCAGTCACAATAAGATTTAGTTACGAAGTTATAATGCAGTAGATCTTTCGTCCAAAGAGTTTTCAAAAAGGAAAATCTGAAAGCATATTACAAGAAAAAAATACCAAAAAGGTCGCTTGATGGAGAAATCAAAGCAATTGGACAAGCTAACAATTGACTATGAAACTTACATTAAATAGAGGTAAACAATATTGTTATCAGTCAAAAGTTATAAAACTTCTGACAAATTTAAGTTCATTTGAGTTGAAAAGCTTCTGACAAATTTAATTTCATTGAGTTGAAAAAAGGCTATTAGCAATTGTGGTTTTAAAAGTTCTCTTTTCATAGCAAATCAATTTTTCACATCAGAAATATATCAGAATGAATGTTTGAAAAAACAACTTAATCCTCTAATTAAAAAGCACAAACAACCAACCTTATTTTGGCCAGATCCATTGATCCACTATTAATGAGTCAATTTTGTTCCAAAGGATGCTAATCCACTAAACTGTCCTGCTTAGCGAATTACCGAATCTTACTGGGCAATTGTGAAGAGAATATTGAGAAGAGGCAAATTTGCAAAGTGTTAAAAATTTCCGAGATTTATGGATTAATGCTACAAAAAAGTGACGCAAAGTAAAATTGTGGAGATGATGGCGGGTACTTTACAAAAAATTACTTACACATCGTAAAGTTAAGGCTGAATTTATTTTTGTTGAAAAAACTAATTATGTAAGCATCATTATAAAAAAAATATCATTACAATTGATTAAGTAGTTTTTGAGAAAAATTAATTTAAAATCGTCCAAATTTTAACCGATCATGGTGGTATATTAATATTATAACTTTTAATATAATTATGGTTATAGTATAGTTTATTTCTTTATATTTAAGAATTTGTTATAAATTTGTAGTTTTAAAATACTTTCCTAAAAAGATCTGAAAAAAAAAAAGTAAGACATAAGGCTAAGACATTTTATTATTTTATATAACGTATAACGTTAAATAAATATATAACGTTTATAACTTACTGATATTCGTAAAGTTGAAAGTTTGAAAAAATAAAAACAACACATATCATAGCGTTATGTTTATTTGTTTACTGGTTTGTCTTAATAATCTACTCGATTGCTTGGATATAATTTTATTTAAATGTACAAACTCGCTACAAACTCGCTAGTATGAGTTTAAGATAGAAATACAAATATAATAAGTCATCTTCGGGCAAAATATTTTATTCGCGTATCGCCAAAAGAATGACAATTAAAGTAAAAATTATTCGAAATACAAATGATTAACTTTTAACTTTAACTTATAAATGCAAAAAAAAAAAAATAAAAGCATGTGGCTAGATTAGATTATTAGAGCGCGGAAAGCCGAGGGGATCAAAACCTTCTTGGAGCAATACGATTGAAGAATCACGTAATAATTTTAGAAACTTCTGCAGCTCGACTTTCTGAAACACCTAAAATCAAATGTAAAAAAATTATATTGCCAAAATTTTGCAATAACTCTCCAAATAGTTTCGTAACTAAAATGCAAATACCTCATATAATTTATGTTGCCTCGATTGAATAATTTCAGCAAGTTGAAAACACTATCATCAAATAATAAAAATAAAGTTAATTTAAGTAATTAGTATTGATTGCAATCATAATAATAATTAAAAGAAATCTTACCTCCCTGTGTTTTTGACTTGATTGTAAAACTGACATCAATAAAAATGAGAGGTATGGTATGCATAATTGTCGCAAAAGAATCATTTGCTGATTGCGGGGATCATTATTACCAATCTAATATTATTTTAATTATGTTTACAAAAAATAAAATAACTAAGTTAAAAACTTAAAACAGATTTATTAATATTACATGTCGTTCATCAAGCATCCAACCACTTGGGAATAACAATACATTGTAAATACATTCAGAAACCGACTAAACAAAGAGATTGATAGTTTGCATAAACTATTTTTATTATATAACTATTTTAAAATTCAAAAATTAAAAAAGGGTTAAAAACTATATTAATTCATTATTTATACCTTAACATGTGATTCTAATGTTTTCAACCACCGAGCGTGTTGCACCTGAAATAAGGTAAAGTCACATTTAAAAATTTTTGAGAACACAGCAAAAATTCGAACCTCAAAAATGCATTTTTATTAAAAAAAAAAAAGCTTTCTGTATCCATCTATCCAGATGGATACAGAAAGTTCCACCTATCCAGATGGATACACCCACGGTTCCACTCTCGTGTAGTTTATGACATAATGGAAAGTTACCTTCTTGGAACTTGACTTGTAGATTGAGTATTCTTATTGTAATACCATAACTGAGAAGATTATCTACTAAGTCATGACTCAAAATTAAATGCTACAGACAATTTTTATTGAATTTTGATTTAATTGCATATTTTATATAATTTGGTATTTCAGAAATATTAATCTAACTAGACGCATGACTTTTCTTGCATGTTGGAATAAAAAGCAAAAAAAAAACAACAAAAAAACATATTTATTGCAAATTGAATATGGAAGAAACAATAAAAAAAAATTAAGTAATGTTTTACAGAATTGATGTTTTGAATGGATATTTTGATATTTAAATAAATATCTTAAATATCGACATCAACATTCAGCATCATTGCACATTTTGAATATTTCTTTTAATGCTGCTTCCCTAATAAAAACAATCGTAAACATCTTTTATTAGCTAAAGGCTTTTCACGTCATCTGTAGCGCACTCTGTATAAAATTTTCTACCTCTACCTTTTCTTCTGAAACTATTAAATGCTGAAACCTAATCATCTGCATTTTAAAAATATCTAATCATCTGCATCTTAAAAATACCTAATCATCTGTATCTTAAAAATACCTAATCATATGCATCTTAAAAACCAAAAAGATTCCATCCCTAACTATTATATAACATAATTAATATTAAACCTTTTTTCAATACAACTCTTTACCTTATATTCTTTAAGTTCCTCTTCAAAAGCTACTTGTTCTTTGAATGATCTCCAATTCTTTTGTTCAGGTTCAAGCTTAAGTTAAATACATACAGTTTTTACCATTTTTTTTTGACAATTAAAATATAATTCTCATAATCATAGTTTATATATATATATATATATATATATATATATATATATATATATATATATATATATATATATATATATATATATATATATATATACATATATATATATATATATATATATATATATATATATATATATATATATATATATATATATATATAAAAACCAGCATATTCAAGTATTTAATCGATTTTAAAACTAAAGAAAATTAATAAGTTTTACTATGATTGGTAACAACCTATGTATATTTAATTGGTATTATTGTTAAATCTATGTAGGGGAAGTTGGTGCACAGTTAATCGGATTTCTTTATTTTTTAAACTGAGCAAAAGTTAAAACATGTATTTTATTTTTTCAAGGCGAAAGGATTGAGCTATATGTCCTTAATGATAATAAATCACTAAAACCCAAATATTTATTATCTAACGGCTCACAGAAAGGTTTAAAGTGAGATGTTATTCACTGTGCCAGAGCACTGGGGCACAGTGAATAAATGAACACAGTAGTTTGTTTGTTAAAAACGCATAAATTTAATATTTAAGATCATCAACGGGGCATAGTGAATTAACCTATTCACTATACCCCAAGTCACTGTGCCCAACCATAACAAATTAAGTTTAAGTCTAATTTCTTGGGACATGAGTGATCTTAAAAGAAAAGTTAAACTACTAAAAGAAACCATAAATATCAATAATCTGAATGATAAACTTCAACATTTGAAATTATTTCAACCATGATCTCTATAACAAACATTAAGACAGTAAGAAAATTTACTTTAGCTAAAAACAAAAATTACCTACCAAAAACCGGTATTCAAAAATTATGTGGTAACAACTATAAATAAAGAAGGCTGATATATGAGCACATAAAATGATTACATTATCAAGATAAACAAAATTCTAATCTTTAAGAAAATGACTCTTATTCACTGTGCCCCTTGATCCACTGTACCATAACTTCCCCTATATATTTTTGATATTATATGTATATAAAATATTATATGTATATAAAATTGATAGCTGAATTTAATCTATGAGTATAACCTTAAGACAGTCTTAAGATAGCATCCAATTATTAAACATGTTGTCATTGGTAGATGTAAATTTTATCTTTATTATAAATATAACGTATTGCTTTTAAAAAAGCAAAGTGATTCAACAGCTTTTTTTTGTTAATATTAAAAACCAGGGTTGGCATTAAAAAACCCACCCAATAAAACCCGCATAAAAAAACCGGGAAAATCTGGGTTTATTAGGTTTTTTTTAAAGATATTTAATAAGTTTATGAACTATTTTAACCAACTTTAACATTATAACTATAATATTATTAGCTAAAATAATTATTAACTATCATTATTAACTAAATTATTATTAACTATTATAACCAATAATAACAGATATCAGAGCAGGTTTACTAATATTTGAATCACTATTTGGAAATACATTATTACACTTTTTAATCAAATATTTTTATCTGTTGAATTTAAATGAGTAGTAGTGGCTAGAGAAGCCTACTACAGTCGAGGAGGCTACCTTATTGTGGTTACAATCCTGTCTCAACTCTTTAACTCCTAAACACGAGAAACAAGTTAGTTCCTTTGAATTTCAAGTTAAAAGTTTAATTGAAACTTCAGTTACTACCTCCCATTCTCTAGCCTTCTCTTTTCCGTTTCTCATTGACATTTTTAATTATATAGAATAACACTTTTTGATTTAAAATAAATCAATACATATAAATTCTAACATGTAATTTTTTTTTTCTATTACAATTTTAGATTATATTTAAAAATCTTTTTCAAAATAATTTGAAAAATTCTTGTTATAAATTATTAAATAACAATATATAAAATATATTTTAAATAAAGTTAAAGTAGAAAATAAAACTAATTTTAAATATCATTAAACAAAAAACAAAATGAGACGAAATAAAAATAAAACCCAAAAAACAAAAACAAATTTACCCAATAAAACCTAAAATTACCCAAAAAAAACCACTGGGCCGGGTTTTTGCCAACCCTGTTAAAAACTAACAGTAATGCATAATTATAATAATCAACAGTAATGCATGATAAGAGATCACTTAATTAGAATCTTTTTTTAAAAAAAAAATCCAACTTTGAAGATTCATCAAAAAAAAAAAAAAGAAGACGTAAATTATTCCTAAAATATTGTAAACAAAACAAAACAAATAAAAACAAAAAAAAAACAAAAAAAAAATTATCAAAGGATTAACTTTTTTTTAAATCACTGGAAAGTAACATTTACCAAAAACCTCATTGACTCAGCAAAAAATATGGTATGTTATATATTAATCAAATTTTTTTTGTTTTTGTTTTATACATAAATATATGCAAATATATTTGCAAAACTAAATTTAAATTTTGAATTTACAATCATTAAAAATGTTAAGCTTAAACGCACACATTTTTCTCTAAATAAAATTAGAAAAAAATTTTGACTGATTTTTTTTTTGTTTTTTATAAAGATTATATTTTTTATAAAGTAAAAACTTTTTTCTATAAAATAAAAAAAAGTTTAAAAAGTTTTCCCAAAATCAGATAAATTATTTACTGAGTTTTAATGATTTTTCAAAAAAAAAAAATTTAATAAACTTCTAGTTTGAACCTGAAAAGTTTGTTAAGAACTTATTAAAAAAATCTTTAAAAGTATCGCTTGCTTTATAAGCAAGAGGTTCCAAGTTCGATCCCCACCATGTCCCTGGTAGTACTGCACTTGACTTGTTTCTCCGCACAGCGGCCTTGTTTGTCAAGGTTTGTGTTTCAGAGTTATAGAGCTGAGTGAGGGTTTTACAGAGCTTTTATACATATTGCATCCATTAATCTAGTAATTTAGATTAATAATAACTAGTCAAAAAACAGAAAAATAGTTTATACTGGTGCTTGATGATGATAGTGTTGAAACCAGGCATTAAATGAATCATGTGCATTCTATAAGAAAAAAATAAATTGTATCTAAGCATTAAATAAACCATGCACATTCTAGAAAAAGATCAATTTGTACAAAATAATGCAAAAATAAAAAAAAAAAATAAAAAAATTCAAGTCATCAAACAACATAAAACAAATAAAACCCACCAAATAAGCTTTGATACACAAATATTCTCTGACAGCATTATCATCTTCAATGGGTAATGGTTTTTCTCCAGCCTTAAAAATTTCTATTTTTTATAAAAAATGACAGAAATAAAAAATCAAAATAAGTGCCAGTATGTGGAAATACGACTAAGCATAAAGAAACTATGATTTATGAAATGGAAAAATGTTTAAACTATTGATTAAACCAGTTTATATCAATGTCATGTAAACAAAGTTTTACATGACATTGATATAAACTTTTGTGAAATTAAGATTAACCTTTTTTCTCCATTGTTTGTAAACAACATCAATTGAATCAGTGGGAATTCGATCAAACAACTGCTGACTAGAATCATGTTTTTTTTCGGCTAAAATAAATTTCTTAAATAATAAATTTAATTCTTTTACAACTTACTATTATTTATTAAATCTTTTATTTTATTTTGAAATTTGAAATTATTATTTGAGACTTAAAAACATTATTTATAAAGTTACAAACTTGAAATCAATCCAACCCAAAAAAATTTTAAAATTTAGTTCATCATAAAAATCTTTGATAAACAAAACATTAAAAAATTCAAAGAAACTAATTCTTTGACAAAAAAATTACCCAAGAAACCACGAATAATTGCATTGGCTTGCTTAAGAGCTTCAGCTCTTTGTGCAGGGTCAAATATCAACCAGTCAATGGAAGTAATTTTCTGTAAATCGACCTAAAAAAAGAATTTAAGGAAATTAATTTAATTAATCAAAATTTACTTTAAAACACTCTTAAATTATATATTGTCTATATAAAATTTTAAGTATGTGTGTGTGTGTGTGTATATATACATATACATATATATACACACAAACATATATATAAAATATACACACACATATACACACTCACAGACATATATATATATATATATATATATATATATATATATATATATATATATATATATATATATATATATATATATATATATATATATATATATAATATATATATATATATAATAATATATATAATATATAATAATATATATATAATATATAATAATATATATATAATATATTATAATATATATATAATATATTATATATATATATATATATATATATATATATATATATATATATATATATATATATATATATATATATATATATATATATATATAATATATTATAATATATATATATATATATATATATATATATATATATATATATATATACATATATATATATATAATATATATATATATATATATATATAATATATATATATATATATATATATATATATATATTTAAACAACTTTAAAAATGTATTCTACAAAATAGAGTGCTCAATGTTCTTAAAAAAACAGAGCAATTATAAATTAGTAGAAAATCACTTGACAAATTTTTTTTTTCATTTTACTCTGTGTTTCATTAACAAAGACTCATCAGAAATGCGTTTCTGATGAGTCTTTGTTGATGAAACACAGTGTAAAATGAAAAAAAAATTTTTGTTAAGTGTTTTTTTTCTAATTTATATATATATATATATATATATATATATATATATATATATATATATATATATATATATATATATATATATATATATATATATATATATATATGTATGTATATATATATATATGTATATATACATGGGCGCCCGCAAGGGGGGCAAGAGGGGGCACTTGCCCCCCTCCTCCTCCTGTATTTTCTAAATATAGAAAAAAATGTTCTTGTTTGTAACGTTCTTCATGCCATAAAGTTTGTTACTAAATTTTTCTATAAAAAATATCTTTTAGTGATACTTCGTTACAGTTTCGGAAAAAACCTAAAGTTTTTTCCGAAATAATTAATTGCTTATTTGTATGAAAAACACAATATTTTTCAATTTTAGCATGTTTCGTAGTTTACACACTACATTTTCAAAAGATAAAATTACAATTAAAACTCTGGAATATAAAATCAAAATTTGAAGACATTACAGAGATCTGTAATTTTATATTGCAGAGTTTTAATTGTAATTTTATCTTTTGAAAATGTTGTGTGTAAATTACGAAACATGTTAAAATTGAAAATTTTTTTTCAATCTTAACATGTTTTTCTTACAAATAATTTCACATTTATTGCTATTGCATTGCTCAAGTAATTAATTACTTATAATTAATAAAAGTAATTAATTACTAGCTTATACGGTTTCAGTAAAATACAATCTCAGTTTTATTTAGAGAAAAAAAAAAATTGCTCAACACTTCAAAACTGTTTCAGTATAGTTAAAGTAAAAATATTGTGAAGATAATAATAATTTTAATACAGAAATTTTTGATACAGAAACTTCAAAATTTTAAACATTTTTTTTTCTAGTGGCTTATCTTACCCAAAAGATAACGCGTTAGGTGGTAATAACTTGAAATTTACAATTATATGAGTAATAATTTTTTAAAAACTTAATTTGTGTTATGTAAAATCTTTATGTAAAGACTTTATAGATAAAATTATAGGTATGTTTGGTATTGATAACAGACGACTCCAGTTCCTGTTTAAAGAATAAATTTGACTTTAAATAAATGTTGTAAGCTTTTTTTATGTACTACCTTCACGTCTGAATACCATAACAAAACGCTCAGTAAACTACAGCTAAATTATAAATTTTTTGCCTTTATTTGATATGCTTATTAATGCTCTATTACTTGTAATAAAAATCTTTAATTGCTACTATATTTTGTATATTTATATAGTATCAATTAAGAAAAAAACTTTATATGGAGGCTCTGTGCAAAGATTACAACGACGTATTATCATCTTCATCTTTTTTGGAGCCAATGTCTGTTTAATTCCTTACATTTAATAAAGATCAATAAAAAAAATGTGAATATTTTATACACAAAAACGGTGCTGACAAGTTTAAATTGTCTTCTTTTTTCCACGGACATATAATTTTTTTCTTCTCTGTATTTTATATCTTACATATCTTGATTTTTACATAATAGATAACAAGAAAAAAAGCAATAACAAAAAATGTTTTGCCCCCCCCCCCCCCATATATATATATATATATATATATATATATATATATATATATATATATATATATATATATATATATATATATATATATATATATATATATATATATACATATATATATATATATACACACACAAACACATATATAAAATACACACACACATTTACACACACACACATTTACACACTCACGCATATAAACACACATACACACAAACATATATATTAAATAAATACACACACATACACCCTGAATTTGTGAACTTAGTGATTTTGTGATATCAACAAAATCATTTCTATTTCACTAATGGTTATATATAGCTAAGTGAAAGCAAGATTTAATATTCTGATTGCTCAACATTCAAAACATCAAATCTTATTATTCCAATTGTTGAATTATCAACATTTTGAATATCAAACCTTGATTTTCAAAATGAAATTTAAAACTCTGAACCCAATAACAATTTAACTTCTCCAATGCATAATTGATATGTGAAAAAAAATTTAATCAAAAAAATAGCGCCAATTAACTAGAGCAATGATTTTTATTAAAACAGAATTTTTTTTTTCCTTTAACAGTTATTTGTTGACTAAAAAAAAATTTCTTATTTCTATAGGGTACAGATGAAATAACACTCATATTAAAATTATTTCAGAAAAGACTGTTTCTTGAAAAGTGCTTAAATAGTAGAGTAGTTATTTAAAAACCTCATTTAAATGCAATCAATAAAGAAAGAGGCTTTAATGGGCTCTAGCTCATAAAAATTGGACAAAAATAGTTTTTGGAACAAAGTAATGTATCTATGAAAGACGATCAGGCAATAAAAAAATTCCATCCACATACAGCCTATCAAACATGGCGGAGGCTCAGTAATAATGTGGGGCTGTTTTACTTCTAACCAGGTTGGTAATCTTGTAAAAATAAACGGAATTCTGGACAAGAAGAGATATTATAAGATATTATGTAGAAATGCAATACCATGTGGAAAATATGCAACAGTATGACCCAAAACACATATCCAAATACTGTACAAACTATTTTTGCAAAAAAAAAAAAAAGCTCATGGAAAACTCAAAATATGATATGACAGATACAATTGCCAGACCTCAACCCAAGTGAGTTGCAATGGGAACAACTGTATTGTGAGGTACGAAAAGAGTGACCTACATCAACAATTTATTTGTGATCAATTTTACAACATGGGTGGAAAGATATCTCACCAATTTATTTAGATAATCTAATTAAATGTATGCCAAAACTTGTATGCGCAGTAATGAAAGGTATTTATTTTGACAAAAAAAGTTATAAATTTTTGTTTGTATTATGTTGCATAAACTTGTATATATATTATTATTTGAGACTTAAAAACATTATTTATAAAGTTACAAGTGACTGGAAACTTTTGCCAGGCAATATATTTAAACCTTAGGAAGACATATTCAAAACAATGAATCTTTTCTTAAATTCTTCCTAAAAAGCTGGTATCCTGTAGCTGCAAGATCTCTTTAAGAAGTGCTTTTTTCTATTAACTCTACTGGAATTGACTTATAAAAACTATTGGAATAGCGCATATTTTAATGTAAGAAAGAAAAGAAAACTGCAATTATTAAAAAACCCTTTAAATATATATACAATTGATTGGTAAACTGACATCTGCTAAGGTTGTTTCTCCATATTGTGCTCACCATTTTCTTACTCCATTATCTACTTCTACAAATCTCTTATCCATTCCTCTATGGATACTGTTGTCAAAAAGCTCTTCCTTATTTCTTAACACCACAGTTGATAAAGACCATGTATAAGAAATATTTTACAAGTTGCTTGCTATTTTATGATATCATTGTTCAAATTGTCCTTCAATTGTTCAAATACTGTAATAAATAAAATCTTTTTAGTTCAAATATTATAGTTAATAAAATATCTTATTAAGTTGTGGTGTTATTTGCCAGTGCTATTACGTTGTGTTGTGTAGCCTTTTTATAATCTTTTTTTTAAATTAATTTGGAGACACAGAATTGTATGCTTACAAATATCTTATGCTATGCGCTATTGTTACTGTGTTTTGTGTTGATAGAACTAGGCTGTTATAGCTATTTTTTTTATTCTTTATATTTTCTGTTATATTATTATCCTAATTCTACTAACAATAAAATGCAAATAAAACTTTTTATAATTGAAAATTTTAATTTGTTTTATTTCCTTTTTTTTAGGTATTGGTAGATGTTGTGACAGAATTTAAAAAGAACTTAACTGCGGTAAAATGCAGTAGTGGTGTAGTGAAACAAGTTGAGCACAATACTACCAGGAACAAGGTAGTTCCCACCGCGTCCCTGGTAGTACTGCGCTCAACTTGTTTCTCTGCGGAGCGGCCTTTTTCGCCAAGGTTCATTTCGGAGTTATAGAGTTGAGAGAGGGTTATAACTACAAGTAGCCTCCTTATCTGTAGTGGCCTTCTCGATCTTCGGGAGGTAAAATACAAAAAAAAAAAAATATATATATATCAAAATATTATTGTGTTATTATTGGTAACCCAATAAATACACATTCTATTGTATGTGTATTTATCGGGTTGCTTACTGCTAGTTTTTATGATAGACTGATTTATATTTTAGATATTTAATATACAGATTTTGTTTCACTTTTAATGATTTGTCCTTTAGTTATCCAAGGACAAGGTACAATGGATTTAAATTAAAAAAAAAAAGAATCATAGATAAGGTTTATATCATCATTGAAGTTGATATTGCTCCAGTTTTGATTTGAAATTTGTTCCTGAAATGATTTTAAATTATTGTTATTATACACACACTTTTTTACAGTTGTTTTACTTAGGAGATTTAATTTATAATTTGCATTTATATAAACAAAAACAAAACAAAACAAAAAAAAATAATTAAAAAAAAAGTGATCTGAGACATGTTTTAACAACACCTTTTTTAAGTAGCTTGTTTTAAAAAAATCATTAGTTAGAATGTTATCAATGAGAAAGATGAATGATTTGTTATTCTTGTAGGTTTATTTATTATAGGTAATGTTTCTGTTTCAAATAAATCATTGTAAATTTTATTTATGTTTTGGTTTTTATTATACTCAAAACAGTCCAAATTGAAATCCCCTAGTATGTAATATTTTTTTTCAGTTCTTCCAGAAGGAGGCCGATAACAACAGCTTAGTAGAGCGTTTTTAGATTTTTTATTTATAATTTCAATTGTTAAAATCTCTTGATCTTCATCAGAAACACTCATATCATGTCTAATGTTATTAAGAATATTTTCTTTTATATAAAAAAGTACTCCACCTCCTCGTTTATTAACTTTGCGTTCTAAAAAGACAGAATTAAACCTGGGAGATAGAGATTAGAATTAGAATCAAAAAATTCTTTAGAACACATTTTGGTTAAACAAATTATGTTAAAAAATTTTTTTGTTTCGCATAATAAATTAAAATTTTTTTTTTTTTAATTGAGACTCTGAATATTTATGTGGATGACATTAAAATAATCACTATTTTGTTCCACATTAAAATCATTTCTTATTTTATTTGAATAAAAATAAGAGCATCCAAGCTCAGGCATATTAATTTCGGTAAAATAATTCATATCTGGGTCAGATTCATAGACGAAGTAAAAATAGTTACATTTAACAAATTTAAAAGTTTTTTCAATATTATTGTTAATAATTTTAGTCGTTTTTGTAGCCAACTTTTTTTTTGGAAAAAAATAAGAAAAGTAGTATATCCTTTTAGCCACTTTGATCTTTGAACCCTAAACCTAACCCTAACCCTAATAGGACTTAGTGACTTAATTTAAATAATAATCATTAAAAAAAAATCTTTCAAAATTCTTTTTTGAATTTTTTTTTTTTTGCATTTCCATTTTCTGTGTAAATGTTTATAAATTTTTATATAATTTTGTTTATTTATATAATTTATATTTATATATTATATTTACTTCATTTTTTATCGAATAAAACATTGTTATGCATTTTTTATAAGTTTTGTGGTGGAAAATCTGTTTTCTGGACAATTTTTAAATTTTTTTCTCCTGAATAAGAATAAGAATATATTTTTTTGATCATCTGGTAAATAGTTGCATTCTGCCCAATCTTTTAGTTTCTTTCGGATTCAATTTTTTCCTAACTTAATTTAATATTCATTGTATGTTAGCTTTAGAAATCTTTGTGATATCTTACAGTTTTAAATTTTTTTAGCATCAACAAGGGACTTCAGCTATTGTATGCAGTGAAAGATGAATGTTATACCCATTAAAAATTGTTTCAATTAATTATTTTAACACTGCATACAAAATAAATAACAGCGTAGTATAAAACACAGCTGACTCACCATAGAACGCACCTGAAAATGGTTCATACTTGTTTACATTTGAATATCAATTGGTAAATATTTTGATGCCATGCATTAAAAAACCATTAATTTAAAAGCTTATAAAAAGCTTTCTAAGGAGTAATAAACTCATAAAATGTTTAAATATAAAAGTTTTGAATATTAACTTGTATAAAATATGTAACTGTTAAAAAACTACAATGCATTTAATAATTTGGCCAAGGACTATAGATCTATAAAACAAAAATTCATAAAAAAAAAAAGAAAAAAGATTCTCAAGAAAAAAAAGAAACATACTTTTGAACTCTTTTCGTCAACAGAACATTCAAAATCCTAAAAAGTGAAAAAATAAAAAATTTGAATATAACACTAAATTTTACAGTTAAGTTAACATTCAAAATCCTAAAAAGTGATCTAAAAATAAAACATTAAAAAATGTAAAACTGAACTTTACAGTTAAAATTTTTATACCAAACCTTTGCTCTGATATTTTCCACAATGCATTTTGTAATTAAGCCAAGATCAAGACCTGTAAAACATATAACAGAATAAAGACTAGGGTGTCCTAAAAAACAACATTTTTGAAAATAATCTGCTCTCACCCCCTAAATGTGTTCTATCTAATGCAAAAACACTAGGTTTAAATTTTTTTTGAATAAAAAATATTTTAAGGGGTCCCTCAAGACCCTCGAATATTTAATGTCCCTAATATTTTCGAAAAAAAAGTTTTTCCAAAATATGTCAACCTCAAATGAAGCGAAATTATATAAAAATTTTAAAAATAATATTCATTTCGAAACAAAATTGTTTTTTTTGGTTTTATTACATAAAAAATTGTGCTTTTTAAGAAAAAATGAAAAAAATGCATTTCTTATGCTTTTTTATAACAATTTTGATAAATAAGTTAAAAATATTTCGAAATAAATATTATTTTTGAAATATTTATATAATTTCACTTCATTTGAGTACCAGGTTGACATATTTTTGAAAAACTTTTTTTCTCGAAAATATTAGGGACCCCTTAAAATATTTTTTATTCAAAAAAAATTTAAACCTAGTGTTTTTGTATTAGATAGAACACATTTAGGGGGTGAGAGCAGATTATTTTCAAAAATGTTGTTTTTTAGGACACCCTAATAAAGACCTGTAAAACATATGTTAACCCGAGCTTCTGTTCTGTAACACAACAGAAAAGAAGCTCCAGTTGGTCGGAAAAGAGTATAAAAAATTAATAAGCATCCACCATCCCCCTCCTCCTATTTATTATTAAAATTTTCCAATCAGTTATAAAGTAATAAGTTATAAAGTATTTAATATTAATCATTAACTTTTTTTTATTATTGAAAAGTATTTAATATTTTAAGTATTGAATGTTAACATTATTTTTAAGCAATTTATTTTCAACCATTTACTAAAAATTATTGAAATAGACTATATAAAAGATAAGTATATAAATGGTAGGTGTATAACAAATCTACAATGACCCATATTACTTGGACAGCTAGTACCCAGTGGACACACGTTGCCTTGAGGATGTTTGTTATACATTCCACAGGCGTCTAAACATCCAACAGACAACTTATGTCTACTGGGTGTATACACTTTACATTATAACTGATGCATATGATCAGCAAAATATTGAACAAAATATTTAAAAATAAAAAATATATATTAAAAAATTTTATATGCAGCAATTATTAAGGATAGTAAAGATAGGTAAAAATAATTTTGTTACAATTATAACTCTTTATAACAATTTATTTGCAGCTTTATTTACTATAATTGAAACTTTTATAAGATTTTTTTTAGTGAAAAAAAAATTCTATACCATCTTATTTTCATCATCTATATTTATTTTGTGCAACAATAATTTTTTTTTTTGACCCACCCATATATTCGTAATTAATATTTGCAATTATGTGCAAATTAAATAACCTAGTGGCATTGATTGATCAATAAATTAAATTGCAAACCTTCCCAGGAAAGGCGTGCGGTTTTTCATCTCGTACGACCAAGAAAACCTTCTAAAATTTTGAATATTAGATATTTTACCAGATTTTACATTTCGCATTCGCTTAATTCAACCCTTGTTATTACATTATTATTCGCTTAATTTAACCCTTGTTGTTACATTAAAATTATACAAATATATTTTACAAACACATTGCAATTTATACTTTTGCTATCCTCTTAAAAAAAAAAAAGTTAAGAAAAGGAAAATCATTCTTTTTATTTGTAGACTTCAAACTGTTTTTTTTTTTGCTTTGTCTTATCTAATTTTGTTGCTGAATGTAACAACCACTTTAAAGAAACAAAAATAAAAAAAGTACACAAATAATTTAAACTATTGATGCATTTTTATTTTTTTCTATTTTAATCTCTTTTTATTTTGTTAGTTTTTTTTTGTTTTTTTTTTGTTTTTGAAACTTTTTCAGCATTGATTATTATAAAACTTGGCAGTGTTCAAGTTGTCTAAAACAAGATACTTGCGTGTGGTCATACAAGACGAAAAACCGCATGCCTTTCCTGGGAAGGCTTGAAATTGCATTTAATTTTTTTAAAAAAGTATCATTCTCTGAAAAAAGTAATATCAAAAATTTACCAGCTTCATCTGCGAGATTTAAATAACTTTGACGTGACTCCAAATCATCAATATCTACACCAAAAAAAAATTATTTTAAATTCATTTGCTTACATATTTTCTAATCAAGCTGTAAAGCAATAAAATACCTTGTAAAAAGTTAGCATAAACTTTTACTTGCATGTCTGGTGGGAGACGTGCAGTATATGTAGCAACCAAATTATTTTGTTTTATATCAATCAGCACCTATAAGTTAACTTAGTTTTTTTATTGATACTGAAAAAGCTTTCTATCACAAGACATATATTGAATATATCAATAGTAACTTAACAGTTAGTGTTTAATTTACAATATTTCTGGTGTTTATGTTCTAAGAACTCAAAAAAGGCTGGGGAGTATACAAGACAGAATATTTAGTAAAAAGATATTTGGTATTTTAATGTAAAATGACTTTTAAAATAATAGATATACCACAAGCTGCAGAAGAGTGTAAGTGAAAAATAATTTTACAAACGGAAGTTGAGATAAGTTGAATGTCTAATATATTTATCTGTTTCTCTAAGATGTCAGGAAAACTGTTGTCATTAGATTTAAGAAATGAATTTAAAAATAGTTCTTTGCAAATACATCTTTAGAAATGCTTATCTTTAGAAATGTTAGACTTGCCTTAGTTAATGACACTTATAAAGATTTTCCAAAGGTCTCACTAGCCTTATTCCTGAGATGAACTACAAGATTTAGTAATCTGAGAATAATGGATATTAGCAACAATGCCTGCTTGTATACATCTATTTTGTACAATAATACAAAAAACCCTTTGTTCTCAAGAAAGTTATCTTATTTCAATTGGAAATAGCAGCTAAGCCAGAAGAAGAAAACCATAGGAGAATGTGTAAACCAACAAAAAGCAATAAAAACATTCATGCCTACTTGAACTTTAAGGTTAAGGTAAATTGATATGTAAATAGTATATATAAAGTATATGTAAAGTCATACACAGGCCCAGGCCAAGTATATGACTAATGAATTTCTAAGGAATCAAAGTAGCTAAAACTGAAGATGAAACAATCAAATTTAAGTTAGTTTTACAAAAACCAAATAGGTCTAGATAATTTGTAGTGTTGTAAATATCAACTTAGCAACCTAAGCAAAAAGCTACATAATTACCATATTGCTATTAATTAAGCAAAAACCCTAACAAAAGGCTTTAAAAATGCACCAAAAGCACTAAAAATTGCGCAAAACAATACCTTTACTATTCATATTTAACAGTTGTTAATAGAATCAACCTGTACTGCCACATAATTTCGAAAATTTTATTACCAGTCAGCCTCAGAACTATTAAATTAAGTTTTAGAGCTGTACTCTTAATAGGTCATAACAGAAAGAGTTGCATAGTACTTCCAAGGAAGCACATTAAAAACGCTTTTAAGCAGAGTTAGGAAAATCCAGCATTCATCCTAGGCAGGAAAAAATGTAACAATTTTACCTCTATGCCAGTCTAATAAATCAAAAAAAGAAGGCCAGGTTAACAGAAATTTTCTGCATACCTTAAAATTAACTTGTATTTTTGATACTTTTATGAATAGAAATCTACAAGTTTTATATTGCAAACAGAATAATAACAATAATAAATAATAATAATGATATTACCTTAACATAGCTGTGTAAAATTTCATTGCAAATATCATCCTATATTTTAAAAACTTAAATATATTATTTTCATAAAATTTAGTATATTTAATATAACAATGTCAAAGGTTGAATTAAGTAATTGCAAAATGCGATATATAAATATCTGGTCTTCAAAATTTTAGTTTAAGCAAAACTGTGTACTTTGTTTTCATGGGTGAATTAAACTAAGTTTTTTAGCAAAAAAGTTATAAAAAGTAAAACAAAACAATAAACTTATAAATACAAAAATAACCACACTATAGTCACTAACTGCATTATAAAAGTAATAACACTATAATAGCGTTATTACTTTTATAAAAAAATACATATGAGTTCAGTTATAAATTTGTAATAAACTATGAAAAAATTTATAAAAGTATTTTGCACTTGTTTGTACCAAATGTATGCTGTACTTAAGACAAAGAAATTAGGAGTTAGCAACTTTTAGTATCCAACCCTCGGAATTAGGAAAAATGAGGTGCTGACCTCAATCTTTTTGAGGTCAGCATCAGGTTGGCAAAAACTATTTTATACAAAGGTCTAACCATAAAACATAGAAATGAGGTCAGCAATTTTTTACCGACCTCAAACACTTTCAGGTCGGCAGTTAGGTTGGCATTGCCGAATGCCGACCTTAATTCCGAGGGTTGAGTATCATACGCACAAATAAATGTATAGATATAAAATTCCATATATTTGGTACTTTTAAATCACACCCCACAAAACTTCCAACTGGAGGACTCCACAAAGATATGTTTTTCAATAATAAAAAAGAAGCAACTGGATTTTATTTAGATGCACGGTGGGAGAATTTTTGAAAAACTGGGCCAAAAGTCAAAAAATGAAAATTTTTTCTTTGAATTTATTTTGTAATACTGTAAACAAACTAATTAACCTTTTATTGCTTTAAACAAAAGTTTAAGCATAAAAAGTAAAATTTTAATTTTATAAGTATTTACATCAATGCTGTCAAACATCTGCTTTAATAGTATTAATAAAGCTACTATTAAAATCAAATTTTTTTAGTTTTATAAACAATGAAATTATGTACTAAAAAAAAGGTATTATTGCTAAAAAAAATATGAACAATATTCTTTAAGATATTTATATAATTCTTTAGTGAAGCTCTTTCTTGTTTACCTTGTGAAAAAGTCATACAAAAAAAAAACATGATAAAATTTGATTTATTCATTGAAGACAATTTTTACCCAACAAAAAAGTTATGAATCCACCAACCCACAACAACAAAGAATTCACCGAATTATTTTTTGGAAATAATTTTATTGATTCTAATGAATCTATTGACTCATTTTCTTTATCATAATTTTTTCCAGAGTACAAGTTAGGACTTGGATCAAATAAGGCAGATATTTTTTAAATCAGTGAAATGTAATATAAATTTTGATATCAAGATGTTCATTTTTAATGGATATTTTTATTTTTGAATTTTAGGAGTGACTTTATTTAAAAAATAAATTTACTGATAACATAGCTACAAGCAATCATTAAGTAAGAGTTAACAGAAAACAAATAAAAAAGATAAAAAGCAATAAATGTTTGTCAGAAGACTTTTAAAATTTCATGAAATTGTTTGAGATAGGAAAAATAAAGTTAATTCCAAAGCATCCATGTTTTTTAAAAAATTTCATATTTGAGTAAAAAACTATGTGAATAAGAGTTTTTGAAGAAGATTCAACTTAGCAGAAAAGATAAAGATATACAACCTTCAAATTCACTAGAATGCAGCAACTCAATTTAGCTAAAACTGCCGACCCCAAGCTATTATAGAAGTGAGATCATATTTAAGATTAGCTGTCTGTCTCAAGAAACCAAAAGTGTATCAACTTTTTTCAAAACAAGAGTATATTGTTGTCACCAAATATTTTGAGAAAAAAAAATTAAAAATATCATTAATATAAAGAATAACATAGTACCACAATTAGTAAGTAGCAGCTGAATATGAAGAAGAGTCAATTATCTGCTTTCCTTGAGAGATTTCAATAAAAACAGATCCATGTATGAGAAATGGGGTGTTAAACTTAACTTTCTTAATTACATTATTAAAGATTTTTCAAAAGTATCTAGAACCTAATTTCTGAGTCAAAATTTAATTGTCTTAGAATAATGACTTAAACATGGCAATAGCTATTTGCATCAATTACTTGCAATGATAAAAAGACATTTGTTCTCCAGAAAAATAAAAAAGACATTTACTTTTGTAAAAGTAATAACAGAAATAATAACAATTATAGCTGCTACACAAAAAGAAGAAAACCATGGGATAGAATGAAACTATAAAAAACTGAAATAAATAATACACAAGCCTAGCACAAGCTAGGGTTTAATAGTCGTTTTGTATGGAAAACGAGTCAAAAAGATAACTATTTGAGTTAGAGATTGAGAAGATCCAAAAAATTTAAGCTTTACAGCCAACAAGGTCAATGATAGTAGAGCCAAGCCATTCAGTGTGATGACCATTAAAGCTAGTTTTTCCTTAAACTCCAGAGCTTGGGAATTCTCTACCATCTAAATGTTTTAAGTTCAATTCAAATTAATAATTTAACTCAAATAATGCATCTAATTGATGAAAGAAATTCAGATACACATCAATAAAACATAAACTGATATTGATGTAATTCCATTTGACTTTTAGCCAGGTTTATTGAAAATTTAATTAATTTAATATAGGTGTATTGCACACTATAAGGATGTTATTAATGTATTATGCAGCCCTCATAATTAGGGTCAGCATTCAGCAATTCTGACCTAGAAGTGTTTTAGACCAGCAAAAAATTGCTGACCTCGTTCCTATGTTTTATGGTAAAACCTTTGTATCAATTTTTTTTTACCGACCTCTGAAAGATTAAGGTTGGCAAAATTTTGCTGACCTCATTTTTCTTAATTCTGAGGACTGATTATGAAAAGCTTTTTTTTGTAACACTTTACAAGAAGGCTGCTGGAATAGAAAAAAAACAACAAAAAACAAAAACAATGAGTAACCTGGGTTTGCATTCCGATTGCTTGAAGAAATAGTACTAAATGGGCCTACATAAAAAAATTTTGAATAAAAATAATAATCATATGTTGCGAATAATAATTTTTGTAAAACTATCTTTGTTTTTTTAAGTAGTTTATACATATACTAAAAACAAAAGTACTTAAGTAGATATTGAAGATTTTTTTTTAAAGATATTAAAAAAAATTAACATTTTAACTTACTAAAAACCTAATAAGATGAGGATCTTTACTTTCAATTAATTTCTTCATTTCTTTAAGAAAATCTTTTAAAAGAATTTTTATGAACAATTTTAGTAAACACTTAACAGATTATTGAACAGATAAAAACTTATAGAAATATCAATTTAAATCAAATATCAAACAATTTACCATTTATATCATTGAGAATAATATTTGTTTGGAGAATTCTGTAAGGATCTCCTGCTTGCTTTCGAATATCCTGCAAATCAAGACTTAAACTTTCAATTACAGTAAAAATCTACCAACTTATTGTGTATACAATAAGCTAGAATAGCAATATTGCATACGTGAAGATCTTTTAATAAAAATAAATATTTCTTTTTAAGGTAATATTCTTTTCATGGCGTAGGCAAATAAATACATAACTCAGAGCTTTAGACAGGTAGTATCTGGAAGGTTTGTAACAGTAAAAAAAAAAATACTTTCCTTTTTTTTTTTACTGTTACAAACATGTCTGCAAAAATTTGAAAAAGTTGGTAACTATGTAACAACACTTCAAAATAATTTCAATAATTTATTAATAGAATTTTTATCTACAAATAATTTTCTTTAACACTCATATGAATTACTTTGTTGTCGTTACTTATTTTAAAACAGTACACCTAAACAATAATATTATTAAAAAGTAATTTTTTTTTAGTTCATAAAAATTTCCCCCAAGATACAGACAGTCCAAACAAGTTAATTTTTTTTAAAATTGTTACAATGGTTTTTTATGTAATTAAATTATGTAAAAAATCTTGTAATATCAAAAAAACAAACAAATTAAGTGATAAAATATTCAAAATTTTGTAATATATGGTTGCCAACAATATTGTTGTAAAATTTGTTTATTTTTAAATACTTTGTGTTAATTAGAAATGAACAATTTCTTGATTTTATAAATTTATTAGTCATTTGATAAAAAATTGCTGTACAACAGTAGCTACATTTTATAAATGTCAATAATTGGCTGATGGCACTTAATATGAAATACTTTTAGATTAATAAAAAAAAACAACAGATAGACAGACCTATTAAATTATATATTAGATAGATGTATGTATGTATGTATGTATGTATGTATGTATGTATGTATGTATGTATGTATGTATGTATGTATGTATGTATGTATGCATGTAGGTACACATTCTTTTAATTAAAAAATTTATGTTATATTACTAAATTCAACAACTGAAATATGAAAGTGTTTAAAAATGTATTTATATTATTCTTTATGATTTGAGAAATAATAAACAATGTTATCATTTTATTACATAAGTCACATTCAAGGGGGATTTAAAAAACCGAAAAAATATTTTTTTAATATTTTTATTATTCAAGCAATCTAAAAAAAATATTTTTATTTATACTTAACTTAATTTTTTAAACTATTATTAATAATTTAATCTATTATTTGAACTTACAATATTTGGATGACTTCTAATGTGATCAATTATCCCAGTAGGTGTTAAACTGAAATAAAAAACCTAAATTTTATCATAAACATTAAATATAATTTATGATAATAAATGGAAATAATAATGATGGACTGTAAAAAATGAAAATAATAGTAAATATTAGGTTCTACAATTCTCAAAAAAAAAAAAAAAGAAAACTGAAACCATACTAATTAACTAAAGAAATTTAAAAAAAGATTTTTATTAAATATAATTTTTTTTTTTTGATCAACCTTATTGAATGTTCCAAGCAAGTTTTAAACATTTAATAAGGTTGATCAAGAAATTTTTTGAAAGGTTGTAAAGATTATAGAATATATTTGTAAATTTTAGCATATTGTTAGATAAATACTTCATAAAGTTTATATTTCATTGTAAGTTATTTAAAACCATTTTAAACATAAATTTTGCAATTTAGTGTGTTTTTATTAAATTTTATTATGATAACATTTAATTACTGCATTTTAGACAATTCTAACTAGTATAATTACATATTTAGATCACCATAATGCAAATAATATTATTGCACTTAAGCTTAGACACAGGTCTATTAACATATATTAACTAAATTGATTGTTATGTACATGTTTTTGGTCTTTTGACATTTTTTTAAACATACTTTTAAAATTAGGTTTCATAAAACATGCATATATATTCTTGAAGTTGCTATATTAAAGCTGTTATACAAGTCAACTACTAAGTCACAACTTGAATATGCAGCAACAGCTCATATTGAATTAAAGATATTACCAGACTGTATAATTTACAGAGCAGATCAACAAGGATTAAAACATCAAGAAGCATGCATTATCAAGAAAGGAAAAAAATATTAGTTTAAACTACATTGCAAGAAAGAAGAAAGGGAGGTAATTTAATAGAGTTGTTTAAAATACCAAATTCAACTGATTTTATTAGATTTGAATAGACCATACGATTCTACAACAACACGTCTAAAGATTGCTACAATAAAAAACTTCTTAGAGATTTCACTAAGATGCAAGTATCACCGTTTAACAAATAGAGTGGTAGACATTTGGAACTTTTTATAACAAGAAGCAATCAATTATGTAAAAAAAAAAAAGATGTTAAAAATAGAAAAGACAAAATTTTAAACTTTTGATAGCAAATAATAGTAATTATTTATATTTACAAAATCTTACATTTAAAGGGTGCTTTAGCCAAAACATTACAAAATCTTACATTTAAAGGTTGTGATAGTCAAAACACTGCATAGTTTTGTTCCACCAAAGTTAGTTTGTACAGCACTTTTTATATTATGTTATTATATTATACTTTTATATATATTATATATTAACATTACAAGTCTAATATAATGCTAAAACATAAGCGTGTTGAAAAAAAAGCTTTGAAAAATTAGATGTTAAAAAAACTAAATAATAAAGCTTACTCATTTCTTTGCGTTTGTACCCAGTAAGCTTGTGGTAAGTCCATCATATTATTACTTGAACGTGGATTGTTCCGTATTTCCTAAAATATTATAAATAAATTTTAAAAAAAGTTGACTAAAAAATTGTCAAAATATATCAACTTGATGTATACTTGTAATAATATTATTGTTTTACAGATCTTTTGATAAAAACAATTATTACTAATAACAAATTAAAATTAATTTATCTTTATGCAATATTCTTTTTATATAATGATAAAAGACCTCTTTTTCAACCATTTTTATTTACTATTTTTTAAAAAGTAAATTCACCACCTCAAAAGTGGCGGAGCCAGAGCCTCTACATGGGGCCACTACAGTTAGGAAAGCCATTTTCTCCTTGTTTCTTATTTTTTAAAACATATTTTTATTTTATTTGCAACGCTCTCATCCCTAAACCCTGAAACACAAACCTTGTTAAACAAGGCTACTGTGCAGAGAAACAAACTAAATGCACTTCCAGAGACATAAAGTGATTTTATACTTTGCTGTACAGAGTATATTACTAATAACTAGGGTTGCCAGATGCATGGTCGCCTAAAGGAGGACATAGAAAAGCCAAAAGAAGGACAAAAAAGGACATACCTAACTTTAGTAAAATCTAATAACGGAAGATTTTTAAGATTTCGGGTCATTAATGGCTTTTTTTATGGTGGTGGTGGTGGGGGCAAGAGGGTCTATCCATGGTAACGACACTGGATGAGAATAAACAACAAAGTATAATATCTGTTAATGTTATATAAGAACAATATACGTTACAGTATACAAAGGTACTGGGTAATTTAACTGAAAATTGCCAGTATTATAAACTATTTTTAAATAATAATAAAAATAGAAAAATATCAAAACTGTCCATCAACAATAAATATCTAAACGAAATTTAAATAATTTTTAATGTGTCTTTTTGCAGGCTATGCAAACAACAAATTTGTTGTACACTCAAGCAATTTTCTCCAAATAAAAATTACAATTAAATTTTTTTAATTAAAAAAAAGAATCCATTATTAAGGTATACAGTGTTATAATATATTAAATTATTTACAATAAAATGTTTGTCAAATAACATATTCCTCAGAGGAACCAACTTAATTTTCATTAACAATCATATATTTATAAAACTGTTCAAAGGTTTCTTTAAATTACACTATGTGAGAACGATGCCCTGTACATAGTCAATTAAAAGTCTGATCCTTTCCTTTGTCCATTGAGCATTAATCAACAAGAATACTCTTTCAACAATTCTGTTGTGTCATTGGATACAGAAATATACCTCATAAACTTTAAGCACCTCTGAGAAGCAACTCCCATTTAGACAAGTATTTAAAATTAAAACCAACTGTTTATGCAAAAGTATTTCAAAAAACTGTTCAATTTTGCCTTGCACAAATGAATTAAGATTCAAGTATTAATCGAGCAATTGTACATCATTAAAAATGATGTACAATTGCTATCATCAAAATAATTGTACATCATCAAAAATGATGTACAATTGAATAAATGATGTAAAATGTATATATAAATGATATGCATTTTATACCTTTCAGGTATAAATTGCATACCAAAAGGTCATTAAATTTGTTATTGCTTACTTTATTTAAATACATCAACTAAAGCACTGAAATTCATCAAAAAGTATCAACCTTTTCTAAATAAAGAATGCATGCTTCATACACTAGCTTAGCTTCTGCCATAAAGCATAAATCATCTTCTCTATCACTTTCTTTAAGCTTTCTTAACATATCTCTTACTTTAGGCGATAGGAATATTTTTTTTAACCTACCTTTTAAAATTTCAAGGTTTCTACCTTGAAGGCTCATAACTTTTAAAACTGACATTTCTTCCCTTTCAATTGCTGCAATAATTACTTGAAAGCAGAAATCAGGGAATGCAAAAACCAAAAATAAGCTTCTGAAAATTCATTCTAAAAAAATATTTTTGTCATTACAGGGGTTGAAGTACAAAATCAAATTATATTTTTAAAACATCATATAACCTCAGCAATTTTTCAATAGCTGGAAACAAACTTAATTATCTAGTTTTAAAGTGATAGAGTAGTTGATAACAACTTATGTCCTCATAGTTGCATAAACCTTTCATTGCTTCTGTTCTAACTGTGTACATAAAAAATAATTAAATATTTTTAAGACAACAGTTTCAACAGCAATCTTTATTAAATATATTATCTATTGGTTTGATCTCTATAAAACTATTACCTCATTCTTCTCATCATCAGAATCCCTCTATCATCGGATTTTCTTTGTGATGACCCTGGGGTAGAAATCTTTTGTCTTCCTGCTGGATTGGAATCTTTTATTCCCTCTCAACGATTCCAAGTCAATCCTCACTCTCCTCCATGGTTTTCCTCATATTATGCTTCTGCAATTTCCAATCAAAACCATTACTTCGAAATCTATCAGCAAAACAATTCTCCAGAAAACAGACGCCTATTTACCTAGAAACCATTGTAAAAAGGTTTTGCGTAACACCAAAGTTCTCAGGTCACGAAATCTTGTATTTCATTTTTTATCATCTATCATCTCTTGATTCCACTAGTCGGGCTGTACCTGATGTAGTCGACAAACAGGTCCATGGACTTTTGTATCACTCCAGATTCTGTATCGAAAGTGATTTCCTACTTGGACTCTTCTACAGTTTGTGGTTGAAGCAACATACCTGTTATAGTCTAGTAGAAGTGTTCTCCGGAACTGTTGTCTATACTTTCAAAACTATTTAACAAATGCCTATCAGAGTCTTGTTTTCAGGCCTACTGGAAAGCGGCATCTGTTATCCCTATTTTCAAAAACTCTGGAGAGTGATCTGATTTGCCTAACTACTATCCCATTAGTCTTCTTCCTATCATAATCAAGATTTTTGAATCTTTAATTAACAAACACTTGATCTCTTATCTTGAATCTAATAACTTACTTTCTGATCACCAAGATTGGTTTTTGATCTTCTTGTTCTATAGCTGATTTGCTAACAGTAATAACAAAAAGATTTTATTGTGCATTAGATAGATGTGGAGAGGTTAAAGCAATCATTCTTGAGATTTCTAAAGCTTTTGATAAGGTTTGCATGCTGGTCTTCTCCATAAGCTTTCTTTATACTTTTTTTCAGCCAATTGTAATTGAAATAATCTATATCTTCCTATATTTATGAATGGTAATGTACTCGATGAGTCATCTACCCTTCATCTTCTAGGATTAACTTTTACTTTTAATCTTTCTTAGAGACCATATATCAAATTGATTGCAAAATTTGAATCTGCTAAGGTTGCATCTCTTTATTGTGCTCACCACTTTCTTACTCCAGATTCTATTCTTTATCACTATAATTCTCAAATCCATCCTTGTATGGAATATTGTGCCATATCTGGGGCGGACCTTCCAATAATGCTCTTTCTCTTTTAGACAAAGTGCAAAAAGGCATTGTAAACATAGTTTGAGCTGCTCTTGCAGCCAACCTGCAACCATTATCACATAGTCATAATGTTGCTTCTCTTTCTTTTTTCTATAAATACTATGATGGGCACTGCTCAAAAGAGCTAGCGTCTCTTGTGCCATCTACTAAAATTCATTATTGTGTTACTTGTCATTCAATGAAGTCTCATCTTTTTACTCTGACTGTTCCAAAAATTCGTCTAGTTTTTTTTTAGATGAACATCAGTTCTTTGGAACTTGCTTCCTTCATCTTGCTTTTCTAATTCATATAATTTGTAAAATTTTAAGTTGTCTGTCAATCGTTATTTTGCTCTATAAACTTCATCTTTTCTTTTCTAGTAACTTCTAGTAGTGGTTGCATGCAGCCTTGTTGAAAGCGAAGATGTTAAAATAAAAAAACAAAACAAAAAAAACCTGCTCAATGCAGTTGTGCAAAATATGAGCAGAACATTCAACACCTGCCAATGATTATTTTAAAGCTTCCTACAAATACGAGAACCTTTTCTATTCAAATACCCTTTTTGCTTACTTTTCTATTATCCCCTCTAAAATTTATTTGTCTCCAGCAAAAGCAACACACTAAGATGACAATTCATAAATTTGAAGTGTTTTCAAAATATATTGTGATATAGATACAGAGGTTTCTTTTGGTGTGTTATCTAACATGAGAATTTTAGTTTATTATTCAATAAGGGTTGTTATTTAATAATGATCAGAAATATTTTCTGTGAACCATGATTGCTAGCATCTGTCGAAAGACCAAAACATGAAATGCTATCTAATGATTTCACCAGTTGATCAACAGTGTAGGCAGAGCCGAATTTACAGTTTTAGGGGCCTAGGCTGAAAAAAAAACCTGCGATCCCATATTTAGAAATAAAATGTTAATTTAAAAAATATAATTTGTTTAATTTAATTAAAGGTTTTAGTTCAATATTTTAAAAATATTGTTTAAAATATTTTTTTAAAATATTCATAATCTTTTTTCTGTATTTTTCATCAACGAAATTGTTAATGAATCTATATTAATTGACTTCATTTTGTCTGCGTTACTTGGTAATAATGCAAAATTGTTTAATGTTTTTTGTGACATAGTTGATCGCAAATCATTTTTTGTTACTTTTAACTTTGAAAATTACCTTTCTAGAGAGCATTTGGATATCATAAAACATGTAAAAATCCTAAAAATGATTTCAGTATTTGGAAATGTAACCTCTATTTTTTTTTCCTTTATAAGTTCGTAGAAATCTAAATGGGACAATTCAGGAACTTGAGTATTAAAATGTTCTTTCAAATACAGGTGTATATGTTCAATTTCTGCATATAAATTATCATCAATATCTTCTGTGAAATCTTCCAACAGAAGATTACATTTAATGCAAGTCTTCAGCTTATCCTCGTTGAACCTTGTGTCTATTAAAAATACATATTTGTCCTTTAATTCCTGATAGCATTGAGCTCTTTCTTTTAAATTTGTTGTAAGATTATTGATAGTTTAAAAAAAAAATGTTTGTCTTAAATCCTTCACATGGACTTGATTGAGATTCCTCTGATCGGTTTTCACCTAAAAGCGCTTGCTTATTATGCATCTCTTTTGTAAATAATCTATGTCTGGTAACAGTAATTTTGCATCTTGTTTTATTAAACTGAATGTGTTAATTAATACAAGAAGATAATCTCCAAGTGATGATTAAAGTTCAGCACATGTATCTAAAGTAATAGTTGCATTTTGCAATAATTAACAAACAGCATTCATTCTTTGCAAAATTTGATCCCATATTATTGTTTGTTAAGGATATTCAAAAGTTTTCATTTTCGATAGTAATTTCCTTCCTTAGCTTTTGCTTTTGTTTTAAAACTTTCACTCTCATTGATTTTGACCAATACTTTCATTAACTTATTGTAGTTTTGGTTTTAGTTCTGTGAATGGTTTTGACTCGGTCAAAACCATTCAAAGAACTCATTACATCCTCAGCTAAAAGAATTTTTTAAAGTCCTGGATTACTTTTCCTAATCAATGGCAAATCGATAGGGAAACATACCCTCTCCTTATTACATTGTTCGATTAAAGTTTGAGTTTCATTAACTGAGCCCTCTAAAAAAATCCAATATTTTTGCTTCTTTACTTATGCAACAGGTTGCAAAATTAGCTGAAGTTGGTGAATTAGCATGACATTCTGTTTTTAATAAAAAACTTTCAATATTTAATGTTTCTTTATGTTTTCTATTATTGCTTCTTTCTTTCTTTTTGCAGTTCCACTTTCATACTTCCCATATCTGTTAAACGTTTCTGAAAATGAACACATTTAATTAATTTAATTGCTATTGTTTACGAGCACTGATTTTACTAATAGATAACACTACACTACTTTTAATTATAAAAATTAAGTAAAACAGTAAAAAATAATTTTAAAATTCAAAATAACATAAAAAAAGCATGGATAAACCTAACAGCTAAGCGAAAAGTTTGTTAAAAATAAACAGGAAAACAAACTTTAAAAAATTATAATTACTTTTTTCGCAGCACGCTTATTTACTTTACTTAAAAGCACCCAAAATTTTGCTTACAGTTTAATGTAATTTAAAACTTTCTTCGATTACTTAGATATTTTGTGCAAAATTTTTCCTAAAACAAACTCATTCATTTTATTTTAAATCAAATATTTTAAAATATTATGCACAAATAATAAAAAAACAAATTTATCAACTACACTGAGTGTAGGGGCCTATTACCTGGTTTATGATTGGCTCAGTTTTTGTTTATTTATTTACTTATTTTTTGCAATTTCCGAATCTTCAAATAATTTGTGCATTAAACCAGTTGTGCAGGCCATCGAGTTGTAAGGCTGATGATGACAAACAGTATGAAATGCTAAAGTTGCTTCAGCTGCGTGGGCTTTTTGCAATATCTTTTAGTTTTTAGGTTGAAAAAAGGTCAACTTATTTGATGATGCTGACATTTTAATTAGGTTTTTATGTTTCTCACTGTTAACATGGTGCTCCTTTGTAAGTGATGGACAAGTATCACAAATCGTACACTCTGTCTCATTCTCATTAGGCCCTTCAGCAAAGCATGAATACTTTGTTTTTATAGTATGAGAACTTGCATTTTCTCCTTATAGAAATTGAAGTCATTTTAATAAAATTCAATTTAAGAGCTGTTGTTGCTATAAGAGTAAGAACAAGAAAAAAAAAAAAAAAAAAGAGTTAAAAATATTTTAATTAAAAAAGAATAGACCTATACTTTTTTTAATTTTTTTATTTCTTTTGCCAATTTATAGACCAACAATTGGAATAGTGAAGCGTGCAGAGTTAAAGGTAGAACCTGACATTTTAATTAAAGAATAGAACATCAAAAAAAAAAATTTGAAAGTTATACAGTTTTAAGAATGACTTTAAGTGATGAGGTAAGTAAGAATAGTTAAGTAATGTGGAAACAAATTAAAAAAAAAAAAAAAAAGCATATGATAAAATAAAGTATTAAAAAACATAAAACATTAAAAAAAGCCGGACATTTTAAATGTTTTCAGCTTCGCCGGACAGAGGATAAAGGACATGCCCTCCTTTTGCTGGATGTCTGGCAACCCTACTAACAACTTACTTTGATACAGATCTTTTTTTTTTGATTGCTTTTAAGAATAACACGGAGAAAAGTGCTTTTGGTTATCAACTGTTTACATCAATAGTAACAAATGATAATAAAAAATGTAGTGAAAAATGAATTACCACAGGTTTATCACAAATTTAATTTGTATTAAATCATTTATGAACTATTATGAGTTTTATAAATTATCTTTTGTAACACAATCAAAAAACCTTAATATAATTATATATTTGAACGCATTATTTTTATTGTAATAATTCAGTATGGTAATTTTGACAGATACAATAAAGTTTATTTGGGGGGAAATTGAAACATTAGTGATTTCCAGAAACCTTAAACAGGTTGTGGTACTGAATGAACATCAACAGGCAAAATTTCCTGTGGAGCCCTTTTAGTAAATAGTTTGGCTTGTTATTATAATTGTAATAATTCAACATAACATTCAGCAAACAAGTTGTCAAAAAAGATATACAAACCTTAAAAAGTATTTTTAAGGTTTGTATTGTTGTTTGCACAGTGCTCTACTTGTGACTTAATAAAATATAGTTGAACAACAATAACCTTGTAACCAACAACAGTAACATGATTTATTCTATTATAATTATACATTTATAAATATTAGACAAAGTGTCTAAATTTTGACCATTATACTTAATAAAGCTTTTTAGTAATTATCTAAACCTTAGTCTATTAGTAACAAATGAGTTCATGAACTTTTTACCTCTTCAACCCTTATATCTACAAGTACTTTAAAGTAAGCCCACAAGCAATCTTCCCAAGATAAACAAGCAGGTAGAAGCTAAATTCAAAAAATTAAAAAATAATAATAATAATTTTATGCAACATTTTAATTTAGTCACATGACTAAACATTAAGAGTACCTGATTTAAGTTTCCACTCAGTGCTGCATATATTGCTTTTTCATAGATGTTGAAACTTTTCTAAATAAAAATTAGTAAGACTATACCTAGAAGACTTCATAAATTTTTTTCTTATGTAATAATGAAATAACCAATTATTAATGAATAATAAAATAATAATAATAAAACTTTTAATGTGCCAATTATTACTTTTAAAATTATAAAATAATTTTGCTTCATTTGAGACCCAGGTTGAAATACTTTTAAGGAACCAGTTAACTGCCTAAAGGTTTTGGGAGACCAATAAAAGTACATTTTATTCAGTAATTTTCAAATCCAATATTATTTTATTTTATTAAACTTGTTAAAGGGGTGCCTGCAAATATTTAAATGTTATACGATGTTATATTAACAGCCCCCCCTCCCCTAATCTACTTACTATAAATGCAGAAAAAAAAAAAAATTATTTAAAAAAATAAATACCATTATTATAAAAAATTAATACGATTAGCCATAAAAACTACTACAATAAAAACAGAAAAAAGTTTCCTTAAATTTCTAATGTAAAACCTAATTTACAGTCTACAACTTGAAAAACAAAAAAAATTTAAATAATAATTATTGCAAAAACCTCTTCAGACATAGCCCAGCAATTAATTTTCCATAAGTCACGATTAGGGTTACCTTCTGCTGGTTGTATCTCATCTTCTTCATCTAAAGAAAATTAAAAAACCCAACCAAATGAACTCCTTTAAAAATCTTTTTTTTAAAAAAAAAAAGATTTCTTTATAGTATTGTATTAATAGTAGTAATAATAATAAAAATGTCGGTAACAAACTATATATTTATCAAAAAGAAGTCCAATCAAAATGTTCTATATCTTAAAAAAAATTAAAAAGCAAAAAAAAAGGACATTTAAATAAACTTTATTATTATTTATTTCGTAAAAAATCAGTTAATTTGGTAAGTTGATTCAACATTTTCATAAGTTAGCACCTAAAATATATACATATTTCTTGGCGAGTTGCCAAGAAATATGTATATATTTTACCACAGCAATTCACAGCAATTGTGATAAACCTGTTACCTTCTACCATACAGCAGTTGTGATAAACCTGTTTATGTACTTTCATTACTGGAGGTCCTCTGAATACTGTTTCTATGCCAGGTTCAATATATAATGTAAAAGCGAAACTCTTATTGTATGAATGAACCTTTGTTTTTAATGATTAATTTCACTCACCTTTATCTATAAGTAATCTCTTAACAAAATATAATGTCTCAATAGGTAGAAACAGGCTGACTTTATCATTGTAATACCATAAACTGGGATTACTTTGGACATCAGGCAACTTGGAAAAAAAATTTTAAGATTTTGGCTTAGATACATATAGCATCCATGACTAAATATAATTAACTTTTAACTGTTAAATCATTTTTATATTTGCAAATAAACTAACAATTGTAATGAGATATGTCGACTAATTGTAAGGAAAACTGTCATAGAAACAATATTTAGCATATTTGCTGCCAGTTAATCATTTTCTTACATCTCTATATGATTTTCAAATTTTTTTTTTCACAGCTTCTGAATTCTTTTTTCAGCTTTTCTGAAATAATAGTAGTCCTTTTTCTTTCAATTCAGCTAAGTTATCATTCAAACCTTCCTTGGCTTCTGCTTGACTTCACTCGGCTGACAAATTTGTCTTTCTATGCAATTCAGATTAAGATTTGCATAGTTTAACCCTTTATTTTGCATCAATTCAAACATATATTAGTGTTGCTAAGCAATGCAAATCTATGACTTTTACCAAACCGTTTATATAACAAATACTTAGACTTTCAACCTGCTTAGAATGATAAACTAATAACTTATCTGTCTCCACCATATCAACAGGTAATTCATCAGTTCACTTACTTTTCTATGTTACTCGTAACAACAGTATTGCATATTTGAAAGTCATAAATAAATTATTCAACTTACTGTGATCACTTAATTTTCCATTGTTATCTTAAAAAAGAAAAAATACCAATTTAAAATTAATATTAATTTTAAAAGACAACCATTAATAGTGGTTGCTTGCAGCCTTTATTGAAATTAAGAAATAACACTTATTAAGTTTAAAAATGTTCTTTAGTTTCTGAATTATTTGTATAAGCAGATACTTTAGTTAATAAACCTCTATTAATAAACCTCATTTACTAAAAATTAAAGCAAGTCTAAGGCAGATTTTTAATTTTGAGAGCCTTTTTTGTTTTCATTTTTAAGACCTTTAAAAAAGATTTGAAAAAAGTGTTCTCAACACTTTGAGAACACTTTTTTCAAATCTAATACAAAAGAGTCCGTCAAAAATGCTGCAGATGCTACAAAGTATAATTTACACTACAGATTCTATTTTTAAACAAACCAGATTGCTTGTTTTAAAAGCAAGATACCAGTTGATTTATCCAATTGTATCAAATTAATCAGGAAATAATCAGCAATAATTAATTTTAAGCTGCATAAAGACTGGTAGTGACTGGTGGGACTAACTGAACAGTAATTTAGAGTAATAATGCTTTACACTATTGAATTTATAATTTAATATAGCCAGGAAAATTTAATGAAGTATGCTAACTAAATATGTTCCAAAAATTGTTAAAATTTTTCAAGTTAAATTAGCATCATTATTAAACATTAATGCATTATTCCAAATATTTATATTTAATATGACATTATAATAAAGAAAATTTTAAATTCAAAGTAGACTTGAATTATTAATTTTCACCTGTTTACTATGCAATCACCCATACAACAAGTGATTGTTTAATGTGTTACCAAAACACAGATTTTGCATTTATATAAGTAACTATTTATAACAATTATGTAGATTAGATATTTTTTTTTGCATAGCATATACTTGTAAGGAAATATCTACCTCAAAGATGTCCACATTCTTTTATCTTGTTATTCTAATAAATTTATCTTAATTTATTGATTTTTAACTAAATGCAGTTTTTTATTTTAACTTTATGCATTTTTTATCACAGATATAACTAGTAAAACTTTCCATTTATACACTTCACACATAACATAACATAACATAACACACACACACGCTCATATATTAATTATACATCTTACATTGTAAGAAGTACAAAAATATAATTAATTTAATCTTACAAGTAAATTATTTCAAACCTTATGAAATTTAAAAAAAGATTACTGTAAAAAAAATTTGGATCATGCCACAACCGCCAACCATCCAAACTTGCAGCTCTCCAGTAATGGCCTTGGTCACAACACAACTTCTGAGCCTAGCAATAAAAAAATATATTAAAATTTAAAGTTCAGTTTTAAATTAGACCACTAAATATAAAAACTTTGCACATTTAATATAAATAAAATAAATTTAAAGTATTTTATTAAGTTTAGATTATAATTTTAAACTATGGTCTCATTCACTTCTATTTAATATATATAGACCATTAAATGGTAAGAAAAAAAAGTGTACTTTAATTTTATAGAAAAAAAACAAAAAAAAAAAACGAAGAATAATGAAATAAATCCTAATGCATACAATACTGCATTTATGTGTGTGTGTGTGTGTGTGTATATATATATATATATATATATATATATATATATATATATATACTAGTTGTGTATATGTGTGCGTGTGTGTGTGTGTTTATGTATACTACTAGTTTTTGCTTAAAAAAATATTGACAGTAGGTACATTAGTGTACATTAGTGACATTCTATTGCAGTATAAAATTTTTTTAGACTTTGCATTAATATGTTTTAAATAATTATTTTTCAAAAGAATTAAAAGTATTTATACTTTCAATTATATTTGAAAAAAAAAAGTAAAAAAAAAACTATCAAAGTTCATGAAAGAGCATGATCCAATAAGCATGTAAAGAAAATCACCTCTTAATATTACAATTCCGCTTTTTAATCAATTTATTATTAAATCACCTTGAAATCTACCAGAATAACACAAAAAAAAACTAAGAAAAAATTTAGGAAAAAATCGGTAATATTCAAGAAAAATCGATTAAATAGTTTAAATAATCATTTTTTTAAAAATAAGTCTATTTTTGGCCACTTTGTTCTAACTCGTTAACTTTTGCTCTAACTTGTTGCGTTAGTTTGACAAGGGTCAAACCAACATGATTTTTATTATATTAGTATCATGTTAGTTTGACAAGGATCAAACCAACATGGTTTTTATTATATTAGTATCAAAACAAAAAAACAAAAAAAAACTATAAGATTTTTTAAAAATTCACCTAATATAAAAATATCAGTTAAACCCTTGCCAAACCAATGCGACAAACTGTGTTTGTATTTTTTCAAAACACGATTAACTATTTACGCGTAAATTGAAACCTTTAATAGTTTAAAATAAAGATATCTAATAACGTGTAACTAGTTTTTCGATTGCTAAACAATTGGCAAAAAATATGCTCGATATTTATATTGTGCTTGCTGTAATGTTTATTTAGAACTAAAACAGTTTAGTGAAGTTCTGAAGAAAATATTAATAGTTTAAATGAAATCTGAAAGAAAGGGATTTGATTAAAAAAAAATATGATAAAATCTGTAAAAAGTGCCAAAACGCTTCACATCGAAATTAAAAAAATAAATAAATAATAATAATGAAGAATTTATAAAAAATAACTCAATTAATACCAGGAATCCTGATAACTCATTTTCATTTCCAGTAAGCAATTTATCAATATTTTCAGCTGAAAGTGTAATAGACAACAAAGATAATTCTAGAGTTTCAAATTCACAAGTTGTTTTAAAAGAAACAACTGACAAAAAATGCAATCCTGATGATGAACCCATATTTGTAGATTTTTTTTGTATTCTCTTATCTCACAAAAGCTGTCTTGTTTGTGGTAAGAAAAACTTATACAAAAAGTTGAGAAACATTTCTAATAAAGCGATTTTTGATGTCTATATAGAAAAAAATATATTGATTCCATCTGGTTTGAGGTGATGCAGCACTCATCTTTGTCAATCATTAACTCTATTAATCAAACAAAATGTGGAGATGTTATCAATTGATAAAGCTAATATAAAACTCAAAAAAGGAGAGGTTAGAAATCTTTTCGAAACAATGCGTAATTCTGTACATCTAAATTCACTTTTTCACCATTTCATTGATAAAATATTTTTGCTCGAGTATAAATATCTCAGAATAACTGGTTTTACAAGGGAGTAATTTATTGAAATAAGCAAATCACTTGATTCAATGAGAAATTTAATCTAGCACACTAAAACCCAGGCTTTGGCAATATAATTATTCTGGCTCAAAGCTGGGTTGGATCATTTGACAATATAAATGTTTTTTAATTTGGACCCTGAATTTATTATGTCATTTACTTCAACAAGTTAGAGTGTCACTTACCATCAATTTTGTTTAAAATAATCTAAGCGTGAACCACATCCAAAGAAATGAATTATTAAAAAACAATAGCCTTATTGCTAAAGAGATTTTTCAAATAAGCGATAATAAATTGATATTAATAGCAGATGGAACTTACTGCTATTGTTAAAAGATTAGCAATAAAGTTTTTCAGCGTAAAATATACAGTATCCAAAAAAAGAAACACTAAATGGTAAAGCCATTTGTGATATGTTCTTCTAGCAGATATATCTTAGATGTTTATGGGCTTTTCGAAGCAACAAAAAATGATGCGACATTATCAAATGAGATTCTAATCAAGGTCCAAAGCTTGTTCTTTAATTTGACAAAATGAGGTCATTATATTGAATCACGGATTCAGTGATTGTATTGAAGAGCTTAAGAAAGATTATAAACTTGACCCAAAAATTCCAGCTTGTCTTAGAAAAGACTAAAAACAGTTAACAACTTTGGAAGTGAATCAATCACAATTTGTTAGATTCAATGATATTCTAGTCTAACGATAGCTATTGATAACTTTGATAACCCATTGAGTCTTGATTATATCAAGACTTGAAGGGTTATCGAAGTTATCAATAGCTTACTTAAGCAATCATTTTAAGCCCTGGATAAGGTTTGCAACATAAGCCTCATTCATATGCTAGATGATTACCGGATTGCAGCCGCATTGATTAATAAATATTTTTAAAGATTACTCTCTGATAATGAAAAAAAGTAAAAATCATTTAAAATTTATAAAAGAGAGATTTAAATTATAAAAGAGAGTCTTAGCAAAGAGAACTACTCAGAAAATTAGTTAAAAAAAAGAAACTTCACATTAAAAGTGTCTATACTAAATTGGAATCCCAAGACATTAAAGATTTTCCATTACTTGATCAAAGCACAATACAAACCTATATAACTAGAGGTTACTATCAGCTTACCAAACCTATATGACTATAGATTTCTATCAGGTTATCAAACCAATATAACTTCCTATTGACTTATCAAACCTCTATAACTATAGTTCCTATCAGCTTAGGCAAAGTTTGAGTTATATATCCGAGTATCTTAACAAAGAAAAATACAAGTTAATCGATTGTTCCATTATTTCCAAAAAAAGAATCAAAGAATTCAAAAGTTTAGCTGGTTCATTCATGTTGTCTATTTTTCGAAAGTTAGCTGTATTGGAGACGATTGACGATGAAAATGAAGATGATGAACATATCTATGAAAAGAAAAAAAAAAAAAAAAAAAAAAATAGCAAAAGGTCACAAAGTAAAGCTTGGTCAAGTGAGTCATAAATAGTCATAAATAGAAGTTCAAAATTCTAACAAGGAGAACAATTTTCCAGATGATTCTTTACTGTCACCACCAAAGAAATTCAAAACTTTTCAATCACCTAATAAAAACAAAAACCTAGAATGGTTTATTCTCAAAAGTGCCTAAATGGGGATCTAAACGTACAATAAAGTCTAACTCAACACCTCTCGTTATTAATAACACTTGCACAATAGATTATTTTCTTTTATCTCTTTGGACATCAGTTCAACTTGCACCCAACTTGATGAACCTTTTGCAAAGTAATCATTAAAAAAAAATTTATATGATATAATTCAGCAAACAGATAAAGATGAATGGGATAAAACAAAAACTGATTGAGTAGTCGAAATCAGTAAGATTTTACCAAACACATGAAGGATGGAAGCTCTCTAATAGAATGTTTTTCATCTGAATACAAGTTTTTAATTAAGTATTTAGCTGATTTGCAATCTTATGAAGCTGACTGAATGCAAAAACTGTAAAACTACTAAGAAGAGACTAATAAAGGATATTTTTTTCCGGATGGGATATTAGCGGTGTCATTCTAAACATGCAAAAGGAAAGACAATGCTCGGATTGTGGCAGTATTATGACTATTATTGTTTTTTTGAGAAACCTTTTTTATTCATAGAAAAAGCCCAGCAATCAACTTTTACAATTGATGACCTCCCTGAAGAGCTTTTTCTGTACATTTTTTAAAAATAACCACTTTCAATCAATTTTCCAGCTAAACTCAACGTTGTACTTAATCAACAATCTTAATCCAACTCAAGATGACTTGGCTATACCTCGCCACTCGGTTAACACAAGCTTCTACTTTTTGAGTAATTAAAAATGAAAAAAATTACTTTGAATTGAACTGGTTCTGAAGTATCAAAAAAGATATAATATTTCATATTTTTTAAGATATTTTTCAAATAAAGAATAGTAAAAAAAAAATTCAGCATAATTCTTAACACCTACTGTTATTTTTACTCTTTAATGTAAGCATATAAATTTTAAATAATTTATGCATATTTGACAAAGATGCATAAACTATGTTAATAAGAGAGGTGACTTTCAGATTGTCTTTTAGGATACTTGCCAACAGAGACCTCAATATATCTTTTTATATTAATAATCAGTGTGTCTTAATTATTAGGAAGTTTTAGGATCTTGCTTGGCAATAGGGGGGCCCAGAAAAGATGTTTTACTGCATCATACTCTTTATAATTATATTAATCAATATTTGGTGGCAAGTTTTTTGAGGTAATTACAGTGACATTTTTTAGGCAATGAGTTGACAAGCTTAATTAGTTTGTCTATAGAGATAATTTTCCATTTTTAGTGTAAAGCTGCAAACAAATACACTTTGTTAGTAAATTTTCCTTCTTTAACTTGGCGATCAAGCTCCAACTATAAAATTTCAATGGGATTTAGGTTAGGACTTTGGCTAAGCCAGTCCACAACATGGATTTTATTAGATGTGAACTAATTTTCTGCAGCATTTGAAGTGTGTTTAGGGTCATTATCCAGCTAGAAACACCATCATTGATGCATTTTTGCTTTAACATGCACTTTTGCTGAAAAAATGTAAAAATGTAAATTATTATTTTAGATGAAAAACAAGTTTTTCATGTAAAATAATAAAAAGTCATTAATACTAATGTTCCAATATAAAATATTTGGTTGTTTTCACTACCCCTATTGAAATAGTCTGCACTTTTATTTGATTCTTCAAATTGCGCATTTAAACCAGTTTATTTCCAGATGAACTATTTTCATTGATAATGCTCCAAAAGATTGCGGGCTTATGCATTGTTAATTTAATGAACTTTTTAAACCAAATTTAATGCTATTTTTTATAGTTTTTTAATACACTTTTTCAAACAGAGCGATCGTTATGTTCATTATCTCTAGTAATCAATGTAGCAGCACTCCTTTGTGAGTCAGGCTATTTGTCAGTCGATGTAGCAGCACTCCAATGCGAGTCAGGCTATAAGATAGTTTATGTTACAACACTCTCTTGTAGCAGCAGGCTATAAGATAGTTGATGTAGCAACACTCCGCGCATTTTAAAAAAATATATTTAAAAAAAATAACAACAAAAACACCATTAATTAAAAAAAAATTTCTGGTCATTATTATTGTGGTTTTTTAATAAAACAATAAAATTTAATGTACTTCCGCATTAATTTAATTGCTTTGACATTTCAACGACAATAAAATGTAGCTTAATTGTTGAGGTAGCAAAATTGTAGTCGAAAGAGACTTTTTTTTACATTAAAAGTCTCTTTTGACTACACTATAAGGATATATATATATATATATATATATATATATATATATATATATATATATATATATATATATATATATATATATATATATATATATACTTTTTAATACCAATAAGATTTAAAAAAAAATTGTTACTTCTTCAAGCTTTCCTGCTCTAATAAATTTAAACATATACTGCAGAAGTTGTTCTTCATCTTGCTATAAAAAAACAAATATAAGATTTTTAAATTAATGCAAATATATATATATATATATATATATATATATATATATATATATATATATATATATACATATATAAATATATATATATATATATATATATATATATATATATATATGTTTTCATAATCAAAATAAATAAATAGAAAATACTTAATAATAAACATGAACCTGGTCCAGACTAGACAAAGTGCGCTGCTGTCTTATTGGAGCATCAGGGTCCTAATAATAACAATGAAATAATAGTTGGAGCATAAAAAACAAATAAATTTTAGATAATAGTTATATAATTAAACTGTTTTTTGGAGTAAAATAATAATTTAAAGACATACTATTTCAGTAATAAGGTTTGAAGATAAAGATAAATCCTTGCTGCCCATTTTTATTTGATTTAAATCATGAACTGTGTGTTCCCTACATACCAAAATTACCAGTTTCAGCAAAGTAAATAAAGAAAAAATTCAACAAATGAATGAACTGAATATGTAATTTGAATAATAAAATAACCTAATAAATAGTAACATGTAGAAAAAAAATTCCATAATTTTTTATTAGTTATTCAATAAAATTAATTACAATTATAATTGATTTGTATTGCATTGTAATTAATACCAGTATATAGAATTTGAATGGTAGCATAATTTTTCTGTTGCTAATAAATCTTCTAGTTTATCTTGCATATTCTTTTCTAACCAATCAACAATAATCTGGCTTTGTCTTGTTGTTGCTTCGCGTTCAAATAAACGATCAACAATTATTTTTTCGCTATGCGTTGAATCCTATGTTAAAAACATTAAATGCTGAAATAATAATCTATTCATTACGATAGAAGTTACAAGGGGCAATTTTTATATAAATTTATTTTTAAAGTGAAGTAATAATTTCTTCAAAGATTTACTAATGGATAAACTTGATCTGACATGTCTGTGTCCAAAACTTCGGCTAACATCCGATCACTAAACAAACAGATACTTTTAAATATATACATACTAAATACATATTTATATATAATATACACATAATAACATTACAACATATATAAAATACACAATACTTGTACATATCTTTTACTGCACACTTTAATACATATATAAACATGTTACACGGTCTTACATATGACAATCCAAATATTTGGCAATTTAGAAGTATTTAAAATATTTGATTATTCAGCTTATACAAATTAAGATTGTTTATTCAGAAGCTTAATTTTATTAATGATTAAAGTCTATAAACACATCACTAAAATAAGTTAAAAAAATTGTGTCATTATCCCAAATATATAATGGTTTTTTTTGTTAAAAAATCAAAAACTTTATCTAAAAGAAGTTTATCTAAAATATACAAGTGACTTATTTTGAAGAGATTGACAACTGTTTCCCTTAATGTAAATGGGAGCATGAGTTTATATTAAAAAAATGTATTTCCTTATAAAAAGTATAAAAATTTTTCTATAAACGGTTTCATTTTTAGATAAAATATAAAAAAATTTATCTTTTTTAGATAAAATATAAAAAAATATTTTCTTTACATAAAGTAGAATAAGGAATACTGTTAAAAAAATTTTAATCATGTTTTTCACAAATTTAACTGAAAACCTTATTTAGGCTATCTTACGGAATTAAGATTTGATAAGTTTGTTCTTGATAGTTGAATTTCAGAAGACTTTTAACTTTAATTCCTAGGTCATCCTGGTGATTTTTTTTTTTACAAATTTGCGGGATTTATTAAAAAATCAATAAAGAAAAATTGCAAAGACAAGAACTATTAGTGAGACTTCAGTGTTTTAAAAATGAAATGGAAGTAAAAGGGTTTATAATAAACAAGTCAAACGTTATGCATAGCAGCCATGGCGCAGTGGCTAAATGGCATGCTTAAGATGTAAGAGATCCACTAAATGTACTTATGGTGAATACAGAGAAGCCAAAAAAGATATTAAAGTTAAAAATGGTGGAAAAATAGAGTGTAAGTATTTTTAATCTTAAAGATACAGTTGGATCAGTTCATGAATCAAAAGGACATGAAAAACTAGAATTAGGTGTGCCTGGGCCAAGTTCAGAGAATTAACAACGTTTCTAACAGCAATAGGTGATCATTTAAGATTAAAGGAAAGTTATACATTGCATGCATTAAGAGTTTTATAATGCATCGCAGTGAAACATTTGATATGGTTCATCAGGAAAGATTAAGGTGATTTGAGTATGTAGAGCAATAGATGCAGATAACTAGGTATCAGCGTTAACTAGGTAGAGAGTTTCAAAAGTAAAAAGTAGATTGCAGAAAGTGTGTTACAAAAAAAAAAAGAAGCTCATTTTCATATATAAAGCGTTCATTCGTTATTCCTGTCTTTTGTAAATTTTTTTTTCTAGTTTGAAAAGTTTAAAAATTGAACTGAAATAGTTCCAAGCAAGAGAGTGAGTAATTATAAGAAAAGACCATATATATTAGAAAAAATTGCATTATGAGAAATAACTAATTCATGCATTTAAATAAATTTAAATGCATGTAAAATAACTAATTCTATATATATATATATATATATATATATATATATATATATATATATATATATATATATATATATATATATATATATATATATATATATATATATATATATATATATATATATATATATATATATATATATATATATATATATAGGCCTCAGCAGGAGTAAATGAATGCACAAGCAGATGTGCATTCATTTAGATAAAAAAATATTGGAAAAAATAAAATGACTATGGTATATTATGTTTTAGTTAATGATTATGATATATTATATTTTAGTAAAGGTTTCATTAGTTACACTGTAATGCTTTATAGCATAAATACATCAGAGAAACAATCACAAGTAATGACTGTTTTTCTGATATTTATCAAGCATCATAACGTTTTCTAGAAAAATTGTTAAAAAGAATGTTGCATTTAACCAAATATTTTAAATTCTAATTTAGTATATATGTAGATTATTTTTTTATTAAAATATTTGATTGTTTTATGAATATTATTTTGTTTTGCATTTCTTCTTATTTTCATATATAAAACGTTTATTCGTTATTCCTGTTTTTTGTAAAAAAAATTTTTTCTAGTTTGAAAAGTCTAAAAATTGAACTGAAATAGTTCCAAGCAAGAGAGTGAGTAATTATAAGAAAAGACCATATATATTAGAAAAAATTGCATTATGAGAAATAACTAACTCATGCAAGCACAGAAACAAAGAGGCTAAAACAATGATACTAACAATGACGATTATTTCCAATTTATACTGTTTCATTTGATGCTTCTGAGCACTAATAAAAACTTGTTCATTAATTTAAGTATCATAAATGCACGATTAAAGAAATAATTAGAACTTTATAATTAAAATATAAAGACATTTATATTTCAATTAAAAATTCTGAAAATTTAAATTCAAATGAGACTAAAATTAACTAACTTCAACCTTCTTAACAGTATAAAATTTGACTAATAATAATAATAAAAAAAAGTTTAAACATTGTTAGGGTTTTTATTTTGTCTATAAAAAACTTTTTATTAATCTTTTAACTTTTTCAAAATGAAAGTTGAATTTAATTTTATAAAAATTAAAGATATAAATATAATAAAATTTAACGTTTTAATATTTGTTAATAATAAAATTATTAATATGTATAGGCAAATGGTTTTAACTCATCTCTTATTACCACAATAATCTTTTTAAAAATAAAGTGTTTTAAAAATATGCAACTTCACAGAATTAGTTGTGTCTAAAAAAAATATTTTAAAACAAACCGTAACAAAGATCCTATAAGTCTCCATGTGTTGCATTCTTGATACAATTGTTGAAGCAATTTGAGATACTTGGCTGATCTAAACATGCAACTCCAAGTTAGTTATGTTTTCTTATATGAAATGGGAATTAAATTTCTTTCTTATTTTTTTAAATTAACAATATCATTAAAATAAATATTAATTTGAAAAACAGTTAAACACAGAAAAGATAATTTCTAAAAAGCAATAAAAGAGCAAACAAGTCAATTGTCTGCACTGAATACAAATAATTGAGCTAGTATTGCAAAAACAGTAATTTGATTATATGCTTATATATATATATATATATATATATATATATATATATATATATATATATATATATATATATATATACACACACACATACACACGAACATGTGTATATATGTATACACACAAACATGTGTATATATATACATGAATATATATACTAGGGCGGGCCAATTTGTATGGAGCCAAAAAATTCGATTAGAGCCGCCCGCTAGGATGATTCTATGGACAATTCTAAGCAACTTTGATGAAGGAACCATAGGTCTATCTCGATTTTCGAGTCTCCCACTTTTCATAAAATGATTTTTTCCCTATAACATCATTTTGATTCAAAATCGATTTTTTATTTATTATTATATTATCTTTTTTATTACATATATATATATATATATATATATATATATATATATATATATATATATATATATATATATATATATATATATATATATATATATACATATATATATATATATATATATATATATATATATATATATATATATATATATATATTTATATATATATATATATATATATATATATATATAAATATATATATATCATCACAGAGATGTGGTGGGGATTAAACTTGGAACTTCTCTCTTATGAGGTAAGCACTCTACTACTACTGCATAATATACCGCATAAGTGACATAACTTGCCTTAGAATTTTTAATTAGTTGAAACAATTTTTAAATTAACTGAAAGTGATTTAAACACATTGCATGTATGTATGCATACCATGCTTAAATACATACATACATACATACATACATACATACATACATACATACATACATACATACATATGTATATATGCATGGATATATGTATGCTTCAGTATATACATAAACTGAGGGTTTGTGTAGGCAATATGCACTTAAAAAAAATCAAAAATACAGATACAAAATTCTAGCCCTTTTTGGGACTAGCCTTCTCAGGATCTTTTTTAGATTTTTTAGGAAGTTGATAACCTATTATTTTCAGTTCTTAAAATGAACTAAAAAACAAATAAATATTGTAGTAGATAAAGCTACAAAAACCTTTTTCGAGTTGGATCAGTCTTATAAATGTGAGCTTGCAAGAACTTGATTTGGCTTCGACACACCTAAAATATATTTGAATACTTTATATATAAAATTAAATAGCTTTTCTTGATATTAACCGCTGGCCTTGGGAGGGTAAGCAATATAAGAACAACTATATATATATATATATATATATATATATATATATATATATATATATATATATATATATATATATATATATATATATATATATATATATATATATATATATATATATATATATATATATAAACAATTTAAAACATTTTACACTGTGTTTCATCGACAAAGATTTCTGATGAGTCTTTGTCGATGAAACACAGTGTAAAATGAAAAAAAAAATTTTGTTAAGTGATTTTTTAATTTTATATATATATATATATATATATATATATATATATATATATATATATATATATATATATATATATATATATATATATATATATATATATATATATATATATATATATATATATATATATATATAGCATGGAAAATAAGGAAATGAAGGCGGGCGGTCAATTTGACCAGCCAACTCACAGAATTGACAGTTAATTGTATTTTTCGGATGTCAAAATTTTTCTTTTTTCTTTGTTTAAATTTTAGTGATAGTTCTTCTTGAATAAACTTTTAAATACAAAAAAGTTAATGCTTGAGGGGTAGAGAATAAAACTATTTTAATAACAATTTTAAATAAAATGCTTTTTTCAAAAGCGCAAACAGGCAATTGATAATTTTTAATATATTTAAAAATAATTCATTTCATTGCAATGACTTTGCAAATGGTGGGAAAAGGTGAACAAAAAATAATAGAAAAGACTAAATCAAAAAAAAGTACCATTGAGATTATATTTTTAATTACATACAGTAATTTGGAATAATAATGAAATAAATAAAGTGAGAGAAGAAAAATTCTCGCACATTTTATATCTAATGCTCATTAAAATCATTTCAAAAACTGCTAATATTAATTAATTTAATGTTACTAACTCTTGTTTGCAGATACTATTTAAATTGAATATTTAATACTTTAAATTGTTTTAAACATTTGACTTCTTATTATTAAACAACTTGTTTAATGAAACACTATAACAATTATTAAATTTAATTAAAACGAGATTTTAAAATGAGATATACAAATAAGAATTCGCAGAGCTATAAAATTTGTTTTTAACAACCCTGTTATAAAAAAAAACTTCACCAAACTTATGCAGTAAACAACATGCTTTTGTTCCTCAGTTTATATCTGTCACCTTTTCTTATGCATAATAAACATACAGAACTTCTACAGCTTTAATGACTTTTTGCTTTATTTGGCATTGTAATTGATTTCTTACAACAAAAAAAAATTTATTACCAAGTCAATCCTTTTTTTTATTTACACATGAGGTAAATCTGTAATACTCAAATTACTACTGTAAAATAATATATTAACGCTAATTTTTAAAATTTAAGAAAATAATATTTGAAAGCAAAATTTTAAGCAATTTTTGCAAAAATATCTTAATATATCTGCTCTTTTGAACCCCTATCTACAAAAATAATTTTTTTAGAAAAAAAGAAGTTACGCTATCCTAAAGTAAATCAGTACTCATTCTAATATAAAATAGCGTAGTTTATTTATCAAAACAATATTTTCTTCTACATGGAAAAATTATTGGGATATTTTTTTCCCCAAGTTTTGATCACCCTAACTTTTTGTAAACCATTCTGATTTGATTTCATCATGAAGATACAAGAGTTCTGAATTTATACCATGCTTGGAAGTTAACTATTTCGAATTCAAAAAATCTCAAATCCAGCTGTTAAAATGCAAAAATCTGGCTCAGACAAAATTAATAGATTTTAAAACACCTCAAAATTTACTCATAAAGCCTATATAATGCTTCCATATAAGGATTTTTTTGGTACTACAGATGAGATTGATCGTAAATGCACTACCTAAACAATTTCTAACAAGTATACAGACTTCCTTTTTGATTAGGTGTTCTATTTTTGGAAGGAGAAGGTTTGTTGCAATAATTTTGCTTGCTCTTTTTTCAATAGAAGACAGTCTTTCTAGCTGTGATTTGGTATAATTTAGCTGAATTGATTCTATTCAATACCACTATCATATTAATGTACAGTAAGTACTAATGTACAGTAAGTACTAATGTGGCTTCTATACATCTGTTTGGTCTTTAGCTAGTTAAAAATCTTAGAACTTTGCAAGCTGTACAAAGTTCTAAGATTTTTAACTAAAAGAGTCAAAATTTGATCCAATGTAAGGGTATTTTTATTGTCTTATAAAAATGAACAAAGTTTATAAGTACTCCTTTATATCGCAAATTCAGTTCATGATAATTTAGTTTTGTTGCTGTACCAAAGAATTGTTTTTACTAAGATTGATAACAAGCTTATTAATATTGAAATATTGAGAAACGTTCTCTAAATCTTCAGCTAGTCTCTTTTCAATTATATCTACCTAATTAGCTATCAATTAAAGTTTATTTCCATCTAAACCATACAACTGCAGTATGTTCAGTAGATTAACAAAAACAGCTCCTAATAGATGTCTATCATTCACTTCTTTGCATATATTATCCATCAGTAAAGTAGATGCAGTTTTGGATAATCTTCTATGGCAGTAACCAAATTGTCAATGTGTGTATGTGCTTGAAAATCAACAAATTTGAAAAATAACAATTTTAAATAAAATCAAGTAATTTAATGTTGAATTTTATTTTTTAATATCAAAACCGTTTTTATAAAATATTATAAAAATTTAAACTTAACACTTGCTACTTTGAAAAGCTACTATTACAAATACTTAGGGTACATAAACAACATAAACAAGCAAACAATAAAAGCACAAATGCACAATTGATATTTTAAAATTAATTTAAAAATATTCATTTATTGCAACGACTTTGCAAATGGCGGTAAAAGCTGCAAGAAAAATAAATAAAAAGATTGAATAATAAAAAGTAAAAAAAAAAAGTAAAGTTGGTTGAGAAAATGTTCTTTGTGACATACAAATTTCAAAAAATAAAAATAAGAACATCAAACTTTAAAATTAACGACTTTAAAGAAGAAAAATGATTGTACATTTCAGGGGTGTACCCTCATGGTCATCTGGTGGCAAAAGACAACTTGTTTTCTTCAAGGACGACTGAAATAAATGTCTGTCAATACCCAGCAGGACGACCAGATTGTGTTACTTACAAAAATGTGCTTATTAATAAAATCATATTTTGTTCTATGAAGATTTTATTCCTTGCGATTATTTAAAAGGGAACTTTAAAAAGTTAAGTAGTATATACTTAGTTTAATAATGAGTACACTACGGTACGTTATATAATTTTACTTAACTTAATAAACAGAGGCAGACATGCGATTTAATACTTCAAAGTGCAACTATACTGTTTTTTTAAACGTTTATAATGCATTTTGAAGCCTGTTTCTTTCCAACTTGAAATAAGCTTTAAAATAACATTTTCTTTCAATTCCAAATGTTAATGTATCATTTTTTAAACACAAAAGTCGCATTTTGAATCATGTGAATGGGCAGTTGAATCATTAATTTGAATTTTTCTTAAAAAAACACTGAATTTCGTTTGTTTTTTCTTTAAGAAAACAAGCACAATTAGTAATTTTAAATTCATCTATAAATCATTCATTCATTATTTGCAATTTTCAGCTAAAACTTACGAGAAAATAAAAGATTTAAAGAAAAAAGAAAAAAAGAACTAAATACAATTGAAAGAAAAATGTTCTTTAAGGCCTTCTTGTAAGAATGCGATCGCACGCCTTGAATGACCACGCATATAGTTCTTTGTTTTAACAACTTGACCATGGCTTGTTGCAAGTTTTGATAATTAGCATGTTTAAAAATTGCGTTAAAAAAACAAAGCAAATAAAAATTAAAATAAACAATCCATAAACTGAAAAGAGAATAAAATCCTTAAAATATTATATATAACAAAAATTAACCTAAAAAAGTAAAATATTTAAAGAATGATAAAATAAATAAAGGAAAAACCAAAAAAAAATCAAAACATTTATTAATTAATTTAAACTTAATTGTAAGCCAAAGTGAAAAATCACAGCTCTAGCAATCTTTATCATTCCTTCCCATAAATAAATAGGCTAATACAAGGGCGGATTTATAGTGAGGGAAAGGGTCATAAAATTTAATAAAATTTTGTGGTGCAAATTTAAAATTCTATTTAAAAGTTAATAGGATACAGGGTGCAACAAATCAATAAATGTGCGCGCATTTCTTAAAGACAGACAGAAAAACAAACATCATGTTTCTTTAATTTTGCTTATGCAAACGTTGCCGTATGATTAAGATTTTTCAAAACAAACGCATAACTTCAGCAATTGTTTCAAAATAATTTTGCGATTTTTTATTTATTGCAAAAAACACATAAAATGAAAAACAATTAATTTCAAAAAATTTTTTTAAAAAAATGCTAAAACATATATACTTTTTTCAATAGCGTCACTTTTAAGTAAAATAACTAAGTGTACTATAGAAGAAAGTAATTATGTTTTAGCATGGTTTTTGCACGCGCTCACAAAAGTATGCATAATTTTACTTAAAATAAATGCTTTTGCAAAAACTTCAAAAGAAACCATACTTAAACAATTTGATTGCTTTCTTTTATTGAAGAAAGCGATCATAATGTTTAAGCGTGGTTTCTTTTATGTTTTTAGCAATTACATTAAAAGTTTAAAGCAAATGATTTCATTATAAATAAAATTGTGCATGCTTTTTTTTTAATTTTCTTATTTTCCATAAAGTGAAATAATGTTTGTTTGAATATTAAAAATACTTTTAAAAGTTTTTTATATTGTGCGCTTTGCGCACAAATTAATTGTGTAAATTGTGTAAAAAAAAAGTTTTTGAAAAACAACAATTGAATAAATTTACCAAGCATCTTTGATATATTTTATAACTTATTAACTAGAATAAAAATTTGTTTGACATTGAAATTTGAAATTTGTTTGACATAAATCTCTTAAACTAGACATTCGTCAAAAAATGAAGATACGCAAAGTCAACGTTAGAAATTATATTTCCATGATAAAACAGTTTGTAATTATATTTTGATAGCTTCTGTACTTATTTTGCCTTAAATTCTAATCTAAATATTATTTTCAATGATTGCTTTTATTAAGTTGCATTAAAATACTCAAGAAATTTTTTGGCAGTTTAATTGTAATTATGGAATCAATTAAATTAAAAATCGCATTTAAATTTGCTTTGTTTTTTTTAAGCACATTTTTTAAACGCGCTAAATATCTAAACTTGCAAAGAGCCGTGGTCAAGTTGTTAAAACAAACAACTATATGCGTGGTCATATAAGGCATGCAATCACATGCCTCTTACGAGAAGGCCTGTTCTTTAGTTAAATACAGTAATTATATATTATTATTATTAAAAATTATATATTATTATTAAATTTTTTTTAAGAAAATAATAATAAAATAAGAACTTCAATCAATTATGAAAAAAAAATTTTACCACCATTTATTTAATTTTAAGTTATCAAGTGGTAATATTTTCACTGAATTCTAAATAGAATTAAAAAATATTTAAGTTTAAAATAAAAAGATTTTTTATTTTAATAATTAAAAACTGAGTAATGAATATTACTAGTTAATTTATCTTTAAGTATTTAATAAAGAAATTTTCTGGATTTTGTCGTATGTTATTAAACAAATTTTCTGCATTTTATCTTAAGTATTTAACAAATAAATTTTCTGCATTTTGTCTTAAATTCAACAATTTTCTGTAAATCCTAATGTTTCTAACTAAATCTAACTGAAAACAGAACAAAAGAAAATAGTGAGGCAATTTTTAAGAAGTTAAAGGTTTTATAGGGCATAGCATAGCATATCAACTAAAAATATCAAATTACTTCAACTAAAAATATCAAATAAAAAATCAAAAATAATAAATCAAGCATATAGCTTATAAAAACCTGTTCATATTGTTCTATGAGCTGAAACACATCAGCTGAATGAGGATGGCTTACAAAATGTTGCATAAACTCATTGAATACATCTAATCCGGCTGTAAAAAAAAAAAAAAAAATCTTTATTAGCATCATTAAAATCATCAAATAAATCAAAGAACAAAAGAGATTACAATGGATATTTAAAAATTACCTTCAGTTTCTGCTTCTTTTTTCATAAAAACTGAATTACTTGATTCAAAATTTGTTTTGTTAATGTTTTCACTTAATGAATTCTAAATGTGATAAAAAAAAAATAAAACATTAGTTAATGAGAAAACGGTTTTCTTTCATAATTTTTAAAATATATAACACACTACGTTTCAAATTTTGTATTATAACACACCATAATGATACAAATTTTGTATGTAACACAACATATTGCTAAAAATTTTTTATAACACACCGTAATGCTACAAACTTTGTATAACACTCCATAATGTTAAAATTTTATATATAATACACCATGATGTTACAAATAAAAAATTTTTATTAGAAAGGTATGAGGCTCAGACAAATTCTTTGCTCTTACAATTTTTTTAGCGTAGAAACTTTTGATAATTTGTATATTATGTGAATTGCAAGTAATAAGATTAATTTCTGAGTAAATCTTGAGGAATAACTAAGACTAATTCTAATAAATAAATATCAGATGCAAAAAAAGAAATAGATCAAAATCAAAAACTGAGTCTTAATCAATTGCAACTCTTTTATTACATTTAAAATAAGATTTCTTTATTGTTCTTTTTTTCTGCCTCGTATGCAAAGTAATCTGCATTATTTTTAAGCTTGATATCAGCTTTAATCTAAAGAGGCAACTTTATTGTTCTGAAAAAGCTTATATATAAAAGTACTTATTAAGTATATTATTAGGCTGTTAGACATTTATAGTCAGCTCTGTGGAAAGGAGACTTGTCAAATTTTTTATACATAGAAAAAAGTAATTTCTTAATACTCCTGTCAGTAGCCTCTTTTCCAGTTTCTAAAGAACGACAAAGGGTATAGAGACTATATGTCCCAATATTAAATAAATGATCAAGTAAATCTTTCTTACTGTTTTTATTTTCTGATTTAGAAACTTTCAATTACCAGATTTAATACTGCTAAATTTAAATTAGACCCATCAGAAATAACTTAAAGGATTTTTTTTGAGGATGACATTAAAACCAAGATGTTTTTACATATTGCCTGTGTCATTGCAAAAAAGGATATTTAGATCCATTTGACCTTTTTTATAAATTTTGTTATAAAACTCATCAAATAATGAGGTGTAAAAAAAGAATTTTGTTTCATTAAAAAAAATTAGTTTAATTTATTCAATTTTGTTTAGTATCATTTTGTTAACAAAATGAGCAACATCAGACCTTTCAACTCTCCAGGTTTTACTGCGAGACTCATGGCTTGTAACGAATCTCATGGAAACAATTGATAAAGCATGAGATAAAAAAAAAGAAACCACTTTCCAATTAAACACATTAAAAAAATAACATTTTAAACAAGTAATAATAGTAATTATCAAAAAATATATATAATATATATAATATATAATATATATAAAATATATATAAATTAAAAAACTCAAATTATAATTTATTGAAATTTCATTAAAGCAATTTAAAAATCAGAAGAAAAAAAATTGCATATTTATGAAGAAAACCCATCGTGTCATCGTGGAACTACAAAAAAGTCTCACAAGCTACTAGAATTCCTATATCTAATGTTGTAAGGGTTATAAAATGATATAAGAAGACCATCGAACAAGCTAAAGGATCAGGAATAAAAAATATTTTTAACATTAAATCAATGGTAAATAAAATTAGTTGTTCTTTTAAAAAAAATCCAGGTTTGTCTAACAGAGAAAGAGCTTAAAGTACAAATTTCTTATACTTTGGTAAAGAAAGAGCTTCGAGAAATTAATTACCCAAATCTTTCCGACAAACAAACCTGCCAAAATATAAGCACAAAAACTTAACACCCAAGTTTTGACAGAATTGAATGGCTGTATTTCGATGGATGATGAGACTTACATAAAATATAACTTTAGTCGACTTTCTGTATTTTTATTTTTCAACTTTTAACTTTAAATAAAAACTAAAGAAATTTGTTAAAAACAAATATTTTAAATATTTTCAAAAAGATTTTCCTTTTTCTTTCTTTTTTGATCTCATGCTTTAAACATAATGTTTTTATCTTTAAACATGGTTTTGTTTATATTATAAATTAAATCTAAAATTTTAAAAATGGTAACAAAGCAAAAATATACAAATTTAGCTTAGCATGATGTGCAGATTACGATAAGCTTAAATAAGCTTCAGTTCTGATGATTGTTATCATGGCTTCACCATTACTTAATGCTGAAGCTATGATAACAAATTTTTTGGTTCAGCCCATTTCAATCATCTTACATCTCTTTTTAAAGAGGTTTTAACATACATAAAAATTTCTAAAAGGTATGCAGCAAGTCAAATTAAAACAATAGTTATTATAAAAGAATTGCTTGCTCCAGATTGTCAAAATTACATTTTAAAACATTGTAAAATCCATTCCTTAGGCGCAGATAGATCAAATTACTCAGGCATTGATAAACTGAACCCTATATGTATAAAAATATTTGATGCTGACCAACCAAAAACAATAGCATGACATTTCTTTGATGTGCGCTTAACATCTGAAATTAATTGTGCTGCTGTAATCTTTGCTGCTATAGAAAAAAAATTGGAAGATTATAAAATTCCCTAAGAAAATTACGTAAGTCCAAGTGTTGAAAATAAAAACTCTATAATTGGAAAAAGAAATTCTGTTTCATCAAGATTTTTTAAAATATTGCACACTTTAGGTGGTAGTAAAGCATGTGATGTTTTTTATGAGTATACTAGACTAAATATCCCAAAATATTATGATAGACTTGTACTATTGGTTTAATAAGAGTGCAAAACAAAAGGGTGAACTAAGAGAGTACTTTAAATTTTGTAATCAAGAATATCGAGTGGTTCTAAAGCATCTATTAACTAGATGGCTTTCTATAAAGTAATGTATTTCTTTAGAAAAATGTATTGTAAGTGTCAAAATATTAGTAATAATAGTAATATTATTAAAATATTAGTAATAATAATAGTAAGAGTCAAAATTTTGCTGATGAAAGATTTAAGCATTTATATAACAAATTTTGAAATCCAGTTCTGAAACCAGCAATGCTTTTTCTAAACTCAGCATTACCTTTGTTTTTACATTTCAGTCTACTATTGCAACGAGAAGAGCCAACAACTCACTGTCTAAAATCAACTATGGGAAAGTCTGAGGAAAAAGCTGGCTAAGTGCATTTTTCTACCAAACAAACTAAAGAACATTTCAACTGTGTTAGAAAAGATTCAGAAAACTATATTGATACTTAGGATATTTATCTTGGAATTGTAACAAAACAAAAATTCAGACATCTCTTTAAATTAGAAGATATTTCACAAAAACAATAAAAATAATTTTATAATGCTGCTCACAGTTTTTTCTAGTCATCTCTTAAATATATTAAGCACTAATTTCCTCTTAAAGACAATTTAATTTTTAATGCTGTTAAGGTGGATGTTTTAGACCGTGAAAAATGCAAGTGGGAACAAGGTCAATATTTTTATGACAGGTTCCCATACTTTTTGAATGGTACCAAACCTGATGAATTGTATAAGGAGTTTAGTGATTATCAGATCTTAAAGAAAAATAATTTTGACGTATTATATATATTAAAGAGGTATCTGAAAAGATTTAAAAACAATTTTTGAATCGAACCTTTGTTTCACTAAAGAATCAACATTTTATTATTTCATATTTCAAAAATGATTATTCCAAATACTTTTGTTAAACATTTTAAATTACTACCAAAATTAGCTGAAGTTGTCCATTATACTCCTCACAATAATGATTAGTTGGAAAGGTTGTTTAGCATTGTAAAATTGCATTATAACTAGATGGGACATTATCAAAAAAAAAATGTACTTCAAGGCTAATATACCATGTTTTCAACAGAAACCACCTAAACAGCTGTTGAAAACCTCAAAGAAAGCAACAAAAACTAACAATTTTAAACATAAAAGGTTTTTGCATCTAATTTAGAGGATTTTGCATCTAAATTAGACTTTCTCCGCAAAATATTTTGTAAAATTTGAATAAACATAGTAGATTTTTTAGCATTTGCATTATGCATGCTGAATTAGGAAAAACGAGGTCGGCAATAATTAGCCAACCTTAATCTTTTACAGGTCGGCATCAGGTCGGCAAAAAAAAAATTTGATAAAGGTCTTACCATAAAACTTAGAAACAAGGTCAGCAATTTTTTGCTGACCTAAACATTTTGAGGTCAGCAATTAGGTCGACAATGAAGAATGCCAACCCAAATTCCGAGGGTTGTGCATGTAATATTTAATTTTTATTTATAAAACAGTAAAAAGATACTAAAAAACAAAAAATCTTATTTACTTGCAATATACTTGAGTTCTGTTTTAATGAATCATTCTCATCATCTAACAATGATCTATAAAGCTAAAAATATTACAAAAATAACTTATAATGAAAGTATTAAATAAAAATTATTAAACAAAAATTTTCATTGCTTACATCATTTAAAAATTCATTTAATATAATCATAATAAGTAAAAATGCATTTCGAAAGTTTGCTAAACAAAAAGGTTTCAAGATTTCTTTCGTTTGTCTCAAATTAGTTTTTTCCATATGAGTTTACATATGGTAAAAGTAAATTTTTCAATGGTGTACCTGGCTACATGTGTAGTAAGGTACACCATTGTTTTAGTTTTTTTTTTGAGCAAACAAAACCCTTAAAAAGCAACTCAATACGGAGAACGAAATCTCTAAACTTCTATACTTTAATTTGTAAACCTTATAAGCAATAATATAAACTAAAAAAATAATAAACTTCCAAACTTTAATATAAAGGTAAACCTTGCGTGTCTTTTATCTCTAAAAATCATAACATTCCACCAACTATTAATGATGATTTCTACATATAAGGATGATTAAAAAATCACCTTATTTTTTTTAAAGGTTTATAAAATTTTTGCTTATTTGAAAATTTGTTGAATTATTTTGCATTTTTACAAATACTTGTAATTTTTCTTAAAAGAAAGACTGAAAAAATTAGATGAAGAAATTTACAACCAAATGTTAACTTTTACAACCTTTATATTAGGGATACCATTACTAAGGTAAAAAAAAATCTTAAAAAATATAAGAACTTTTCCTAATATTTAGAAAGATTTGGTCTTAAATAAGATAAATTTTGTAAAAAATAAGGATAATAAAGAACAAAGATTTTATAAACTAAACAAAATATTCCTTTATAGTATAAATAACAAAACATCAAAACATCATATATATATATATATATATATATATATATATATATATATATATATATATATATATATATATATATATATATATATATATATATATATATATATATATATATGTATATATATATATATATATATGTATATGTGTATATATATATATATATGTATATGTGTATATATATATATATATATATATATATATATATATATATATATATATATATATATATATATATATAAAGAAAAAGAAAAGATTGATTTATTGAATAAGGAAAAAATAATATTTTTATAACTTCTTTTTTTTTTTTTTGTTATCCTTGAATCTATTATATAATTTTTCAAATTATATTTATTTTAGCTACAAACATTATTTGATTGGTTACTTTATTTTATTATAATATATAATAGTATAACTTAATATTATAGTATAGTTATATTATTCTTGACTGGTTTATTTTTATATTCATTTTATTTATAATAATATTTATATTATTATTTTTCAAAGCATTTTGTTGTATTTTGTTATTATTTATCTTACTTCATTATATTTATTTTATTATTTATACAAGGACTAAAGTTTTAATAACAATTAATAATATTATAATCATTGTTATTCTCTCTCTCTCTCTCTCTCTCTCTTTATATATATATATATATATATATATATATATATATATATATATATATATATATATATATATATATATATATATATATATATATATATATATATATATATATATAAACATACATATACATTTTGAAAAATTTGTTAAAATTGTTTGTACCCAATTCAATTCTTTTTCATTTACCAAAACATTTCTGGTTCAATTTTAGAAAATTTGAACATTATTTAGGTGGTCCACCAAGCAAATGAAGTTTTGCATATATACAGAAAATTTGCTATATTTAATGTTAATTGGTATTTAATAAAACTACATCAATTAAAGCAACTAAGGTTCATACATTTGACTAATATCACCTTGTATAACAAATAATAGTTAAACAAAAGAACAGCAATGCTAAGAATATTTGAAAATAAAGTCTTATCATTCATTCTGGCTTATTTCTTATATTTTCAAATGTCTGGTTGCTTGTTTTGATCTTTCAACTTGCAAAACATTTTGATAATGCTCTTCACACTTGGCTGTAGCTAGGAAGTCAGAGCTGAGCTTAAACACTCTCTCTGCACTGCTATTTACCACATTCAGTGCTTGAATGTTGATCATCAAAACTTGATATAAAGTAGAATTTGGCCAGTCTGCAACTTCATCAGTCAGAAACTCTGGATCGAGCTGCAGGCTGTGAAACATGAACCACAAATCAACTCCCACAAGATTAGCAAGCATTATAATAACATATTTGATTCAGGAAAAATAGGCTTCCCAAATCTTGTGCCAAGTTGAAATGCAATAGTATCTGGCCAGAAGACAGTCAGCAAAAGCTCATTATTCTTTTAGTGGAACTTTAATGCTCCAAAGTGCAAGCGACAACATTTCTTTAGTTTAGTACCACAAGTGTCACTAAAATACTCTCAACGCACTTTTTCTGCTATCTTGAGGTGTAATTCTGCATACATCAACGCCAGTCAAAACAACATAAGATCATTCTGTGATGCATCTGTAGTAGAACTACATGACATCCACCAGACACTATATATCAGGGTAGCATAGTTGACGAATCTCTCACTTTGGTAGTTTGTGCTTTTGTGGTTATTGTGCCAAGTAGAAGATCACAAATCTGATTTTCAAATAGCCAAACGTTAATTGAGCAGATCAGCTTTGCCATCCATTTGGCTTTATATAACCTTTCGGGTCACTTAAATGTAAAGATGTGTCCTTCTTCACAATCAAGAAAAACAGTACATAATTCGACGAATTCCAGATAGTTGTCTCTCCGATAATTTAGTTCAGAATTAGCAAGCTTCGCAACACCTTCTCTACAACAATCAGTGAATGTTTTGGCACTTTTACTGAAGGAGGTGGACTTAAACCTCCACAGTCGATCAGCTGGATGCAATTAGAGCAGCGCAAAGTTTTTACAAAGTCTTGGGTGACCTCTAGCGACTTTGAAACCTTAATCTGGAGGTCAGAAAATACATGTGTTAAGACCAGAAAATACATATGTTAATGTCTCTCCAACGTGGTGGCGACAAACATTGCTGAATGATCACACAAGCTGCAGTGACATATCCTGTGTTTGATGCAGTTTTGTCAAATGCTATGCTGACTGAGTCGTTGCAGTTCCATGACTTCAACAGGTTGACTGTCAAATCTGCGACAATATCACCCGATTTTTTATCAGTTCCTGGTTCATATGCTGGAATGCCAAGTAGCTTAATTTCATTAGCAATTCCAACTATAACAGACAGATGCTCCTTTAAAATGTTTCTATTTGACAAAAAAAATATCTATTTAGAATCCCAGTGCAGAGTTGCAAATCTAGGAGCAATTCATGAAAGACGCTGCAATATTCCTCCAAATTTTACACCTAGATTTATCTGCATATGAAAACAATGCAGAAACCTTTGTTGAATTGCCATCTGCTTCTTTAATGAGAGCCTTGGTGTAAATCGCCTGCTGTGCGGATGTCATTTTTAAGTGAGATGATAGTACAACAAGTCTTGCTTGTTGCACAATGCCATGAGGTACGAAGGCAGGTGTTCCTGTGCGGACAAGGCTATGATGGCTTCTAGGTGTTTTAAATGGAACATCAACAAAAGAGTCACTGTCCTGAGCGTCTTCACCTAATTTTCTTTAAAAGCATCAATTTCATCATAACTGCTCTCAGTGTCACTGTTTGCTGCTGCCACTTCAGTAATAGCTGTCAGAGGGCTGGATATTTTCTCATGTCTTTTTGCCTCACATTGTCGTGAGACAAAAATGACGCTGAAGTTCACCAGACAACACTTTGTCACATGGAACAAAGGTGGCCAAACAACTAGTTTTCATTGACTGCAGGAACAACGTGTCTTCTGAATTTTTTACAAGCAGTTCCACATTCGCTGGCCAGAGAGGAAATGCTTTTGCTAACGTGCATTCTATCTCCTGTACCTTCTTTATACAACTGGGAGTGGATCTACGTTCCAAAGGCATTGCCTTTATTTTGGCATTGTCATCAAGAAGTTTAGTGATCTTATTGCATGTTTTAAGATCGTGATGATTGGAATATTAGCCTTTTCATAGAAGACCTTCAACTTTACCAAGACAAGTTTTGCAGACTCCCATCTGGTTCGATTATCACTTGCACCTTCATTAAAGTGATACATGATGCAACACAACACTTAAAAAGAAGTTGGAAAACGAGAGCCGGTTATTTTTACATTATCATCAGTTATCTTGTTTCCTAGACCAAATATGATGAATGATTTTTGCGTAACTTTTTGCTCTCCAGATTACCAGATAAACAAGGGATAAGGACATGTTTGCACTGCAAGGGTCAATTTTCATATCAATCTAAAACAATAGTTTAATTATTAAATATTATATATTAAATAAATAAACATTTAATAATCCTGGTCTGATGGAGTGATGGTCCTTATAGGCTGGACTTGTGGATAGACCTTAACCCAGGTTAGGATGCACTGAGGGCTTGTTCTTAATGTAATATGATATTGCTAAAAATCAAATCTTTTGAAAATTACACAATACAAAATATATAATGTATATTATTATAAATAATATCTTATTTTATAATGAGAAATTATTTAGCTGTCTTGATGAGATAATTAAGACTTATAAAATATCAAAAACAGTCTAGATAGATCTAAAATGCAAGATGGCAACTAATGAACTGGCACACAATTTTTTTTAAATATTATGTAAGGCGTTCAAAAAGTGTTATGTTATAAAGTGAAAATTATTATAATTATTTGAATATATTGAAAAACACTTGCTGACCACGTAAATAATATTTAGTTGCGAAAAGCTGGCCAGATTTTTTAGTTGTTTTGAGAACATTTTAACATTTTAAATTATAATTATTTGAATATATTGAAAAACAACAATTTTTGCATTTTATTAAATCTACATATTATACTTCATTTTTTAAACATTTTGTTTTATATACAATGTGGTTGAACACAAAGTTATGATAATAAAGCACGCCATTATTTTGAGCAAATTTATTTTTCAAGTTATTAAAGCATTAAATCTTTTATAATTAGGCCCA